ACAGGAAGATGGGTGAGACCCGAGGGTGCTGGGGGGACTGGACTCAGACTAGGGCCCACCTCACTGGCCTGCCCCTCACCATAACGGAGAGACAGAGTGCAGGGCGAGGCTGCAGTGACCTGGGAGACTTCGCGGAGGAGGAGGCATTTTCACCGAGCACGGAAGGGGGTGCAGAGCAGGGAAGGGCCTTCTCCAGAAGGAACACAGTGGTGAGTGGACGGGAGGGCCAGCGCCCCCACAAGTTTCCCCAGCTCACCTCCAAAGGGGAGCGGGAGAGAAGCTGAGTCCGTCTGGGCAAACAAGCCGGTGTTCTCTGTCTCCTTGGAACACAGCTCTGAGGCCAAATTTCACAATTCTCTTTTCTCTTGAAAACCTGTTGGGTTTCGAGCCTGCATTTCTGGCAGCCTTGTCCCCCGAGGCTCCAGGCACTCAGGAGAGACGACCTGGCAAAGCGAGGCACAGGGCGTCCAGGAGGGAAAGGGGCCCGGTGGGGGTTGGGGGGCGGCACAGGGTGGAAATGAGAAGGAGGTGGGAGAACGGAGGCCTGGCAGGGGTTCCGAGGTGGGTGGCGCCACCAACAGAGGGAAGGACGGAACCTTCGAGCGCCTGCCACTGTGGCACGTGCCCCTCCACAGCTGCTCAGGTGAGGTGACAACTGAAATACCAAGCTTTCTTTCTGCTTGTCTACACGGATCAAGTGCCTGCCAGGCGCTCAAGCCACTCTGTGTCCTGGGGCCACGGAGTTCAACCTCCGAGAGCCATTCCCCCACCGGAACGAACATGCTTCCGGCCGGAAGCAGGCAGCTCCTGGGGACTGACAGCAATCCATAAGACAAGGGCAGAGGGGACACTGCTCAGAGGACTCACCCCTGATGGAAGGGGGTCTGTGTGGACAGACCCAGCTGCTGGTGAGGGCACTGACAGGCAGGCAGGGGCCCCAGGGGGCTGGTTCTGTTGTTCAGACCTCGCTGGCGCTGGGACCACAGGACACTCGGACACAGGCCTGACACGCAGAACAGACTGGACACCAGTCTGGGCCTGTAGCCACACCCTCCTGGCCCCAGTCTCGGCCAGACTTGCTGCAGCCTCGAGGGAGAAAATAACTGCTTCCTGTAATAAGCCGCCCAGTTTCGGGGGCAGGGTCCTTTGTCATGCAGCGCTAATGCGGCAATAGCTCACCGATACATAATGGCAACAGGGCCCCAGCATTGTTTGGCTGGAGGCCTGCCCGCTCAGAGCGGTCGAAGGCTTCCCGGAGATGCTGGCGTGTGGCCTGAGCCTGGAGGATGGGCAGGAGCATACAGTCTGGAGATGCCCCAGGCGGACGGAGGAACCACAGAAGGTCTCGGGCAGGGAAGGGCACGAGGCCAGTGGGGAAGCTGCAGGACCAGACGCTCGGCGTGGCCCAGCCAGAGTGCAGCAGAGCATGAGGCCTGCACCACCGTGCGGTTCTCTCTCTCTCAAGAGAGAGCAGTTCATTCTGGGGCCCTGTACCGCCCACTCCTTCTGATGCAACTTGGGGACAGGCTCAGCTCCAGGGCTTCTGCCTCTAATCCTCAGCAGTCTTGTAGTCTGCGCGGGGCAGGCTGCCCGAGATGGCACTCCTGTCTGAGCTCTGGCTGGGAGCCCTGCCCTGTTGTGCACTGCCCGGCTGTAGCCCAGCCGTCTCTGCTGGAGGGAAGTCAGGCCACCAGGCACCTGGGGGGACACCCCCCTCTCTCAGTGGGATTGTCACCGGTGGACCCCCCTGAGGGGGAGCACTTAGGGAAGGACTGGGGCCTCGCACGGCCTGCTGCGCCCCCTGCTGTCCAGGGCTGCTCACGGCAATTCCGACTCCCAGGGAAGAGCATTGCCCTTGCACCTCCGGAAGGCACCACGTGGCAGGGTGGTGGGTGAGCGCTGACTGACGCCCAGCTCTCCATCACAGCTGGGTTTGCCACCACCTCTCCTGGTGGATGGCTGGCCTTGGTCCCAGCTCACGCCCCTCCTGGGGGACTTCCCTCACAGCCCCGGGGAACAAGCACTTGTCAATATTCCAAACTGTCCCCTCCATTCCCCCCACCCCACAGCCCCAGAAAGCATGTGGTCTCTGTCACAACGCACAGCAGAAGACAGCCCAAGGTGAGGTAACAGTGCCTGCCCTCCCTCTGCTGTTCAAGCCCAATCTTGGTTTTGTTGCAGAGGGTGGTGGCCTAGTCTGCTCCAGCCAGGACTGCATTTTCCTGCACGTGATGGCAAGCTCCCTCCTCAAACGGCAGCCTCCCCCCACCCCCCGTGGGGCTCAGCCGTGGGGGGGGGGGCGCCGCCGCTGCTGATGGAGGCCCAGGGACTTCTCGTTGAGACCCAGAAGTCTGTGAGCCGGGCCCAGCGGGGGACTGCTGCCCCCTCCACAGAGGACGAAAGGGGGGGGGCTTTTCCCCTTGGAGGGGAAAGGTGGCCTGTTCAAGGTCACACAGTTACTGAGGGGCAGAGACCGAGGTCCTGACTCGCCCACTAACCAGAAATGACTGCCCACGGCCCCCAAGGAAACCGTCCTAGCCATGAATTGGGGATCACAGGATTTACCACAAGGAGCTGTTTCAGCATTCAAATCAAATTACGTACGAAAAGACTGCCGTAAACCGCTGAGTTGTAGCCGTGCTCAAGTTGTCAGGACAGCATTTTGCCTCAAGAGCAGGGCTGTTTTATGCAGACTCCTCCTATGCTGGAAGAGCTACTAGCCAGCCTTCGAAGCCCCAGCCTCAACGCCCCTCCCTGGGAGGCCTGTCGGACTCCTCACTGTAGGGTTGCAGAGTACAGATGCAGAGTAGCACATGGCACTTCCCAGTGGAAGGTTGAAGACCAGTGCTTGATCTCCGTACAGTCTTCTGCATAAAGATCCTGGCAGCGTTTCAGGGGGCAGCTCCTCCCTTAGCGGGCTCTCCACCAGCAGAAGCAAAAGGAAGCCTCTGTCCGCCCCGCCCGATCTCCCTTTGGGGCAGTGCCCACTGTGGCCACCAGGGGGCAGCACAGGCAGGCCTCTGTTGGGGGAAATCCCAGTTTGGGGTCAGGATCCGGGGAGTGACCTAGAGACAGACCAGCGGGACTGACGGGCGCTTGGATGTGCCCGGCCGGGCACGGACGCCCGCTGGTTGTCTGTCCGGCTGTGACTCTCTGCTGATGACCCCCGCTGCTCCATGCGCTACCTACAGCAGGATGCCCCTCTGATTTCCTCCGAGCCTCAGGAAGAGCTAGGAAAGGAGTGCTCCTATCTCTTTTAATCGTCACAATAAATAGTATGACCCCAGATGTACAAGGCAGCAGCATATCAAAGCTAAGAGAAAGTGAGCTGCCCAACCAAGGTCACAGTCAGTGAACGTGACATACTGTTTTAAATTTTATTACAGAAAATTTCAAATACATACAAACTTTCACAGTATCCGTCATCCAGCTTGAACCATGGACAACATTTTGCTACTTGTGTTTCTCCTATTCTCGTTTGTTTTTTTTTTTAACCAGAGTATTTATAAAGCATATTCCATTCCAGACACCGTGGCAATCACAGTAAATACTGCCATTTGCATCTCTAAGAGACTAGGACACTTTCCCCCTAACCACTACCTCTCCCTAAAAACAGGATCCGTAGCTCATCATTGTCTGCTCGCACCCCCATTCCCCCCCCCCCGCCGCGCACACAGGTTTCCCAGTCTGTGTGTTCCACCGCGACCCAAAGAAGGCCCGCACATCCCGTTCGGCTGTGTTTACGCTCTTTTACCCCCAAACAGTCCTAATTCCCTTTTCCACTCCAGGCCCTTAAGGAATTAACAAACGGCCTTTTCACACAGAACATCCACAACCCCGGATTTGGCCGCGTGCCGCCTGCAGGTGGCACAGGGTCCGCCTGGCGCACAGCAGGCGCTCAATTCATTCAACACAATGAACGCCTCACGGGGATCGACGCGGAGTAACGGAGGTCTGGGCGTCGCAAACGCGACCAGCAAGGCCGCACCCGGGAGGCCTCAGCCCTCGGGTCTTGGCGGAGCGTATTGCAGGCCGGGCCTTGCTGACGCGGGAGCCAAGCCAGAGCGCCGGTACCGCTCCAAGGGACGGCAGCTCAGAGACACGAGAACCAGAGGCACCCTCCCTTCCAGCACCTCGGCTCCTTCGTGACACGGGTACAGTGGCACTGACCTTTGTCAGATTGAGGAACACGTCGGACTCGTGAGCTTTAACTTTCTCTGAGGTTTTACTGTTCTTATTTTGATCTGCTTTGTGTTTTACTCTGAGAAAACTGAAGGTCCTAGAACGGTGTAAAGAAAACCAGCACACATCCATCACCTAACTTCAGAGAACATTCTGTTACATTGTCTCCTGGGGGCGGTGGTTTTTTGGTGTTAACGAAAGGTACGGAAAGCGCAGGAGGGCTCTAACCTCGACCTGAGCCTTCCCCGCCCCCCTTCTCTAGCTCAGAGCGAAGGCCAGAGGAGGTGGTGCCGCCCAAATCGCTGCCTCTAACGTACCTGCTGGTGCGTGCGGAGGGGCTTTTGCCCTCAGCCTGACTACCTGCAGTCAACCGACGCTGAGGCGCTTTGCGCCTGGCACCGAGCCAGGAGTCGGGGCTGATAGGGGAACGGGACAAGTGCCCGCTCCGCCCCCCAAGGCAAAGGGCTCCGCCTCCCAGTGCAAAGGGCGGTCTGAAGTGAGAACTGGGTTGGGATGTTCGAATAGAAAACCAAAGCGTGCGCACTTCCGGCTCCCTTGTCGCCCCCCATGCTTCCTCCCCATTGGTCCTTCCCTTGACCACGCCCAATCATGGAGAGTCTCCTCCCACTGTTTTCTTCAACCCTTGCCCCCTTTCGTTCATACGCAGAGGGAAAACTCAGACCTAGTCCACTGTGACCCATGATTATTGGTGGTTATTGCTTGTCCATCAGAGGAAATACGGTCTGGGATTGGCTGAAAGGAAGTAGTAGGCAGGGTCTGCGCGAGTTGCCCGGACCTAAAGGGCGGACTGGAGGCATCCACGCATGCCTAGTACGTGTGCTGTACTTGCGCGGGTGGCAGTCATGGCGGCTCGGTGTGTGAGTTTGCTGCGGCGCAGCCTCCCGGCTTTGGCGTTGTCTCTTAGGTAAGAGGGTAAGGCGCGCCTGGCTGCCCTCGGCCGGAAGGTGCGGTCCTCAGTGCCACTTTGCCCGGTTCTGGCCTGGGAGCGAGGCGACGTGGGCCGCGGACGCCAGCAAGGGCCTGGACTGGAAGGGGCGGTGCGCCCCGCGTGCTGGAGGCCGGCGCCTACCCCCGCACGCGTGTCTCCGGGTCAGTGTACAGCCCATACGTGCGCTCACCCTGGCACAGGTAGCCTCGGCCTCGGGGCTGCCGGAACCGGGGGCCAGGCCGCCGCAGAACCAGGAGCGGGCGCCGGGGCAGCGCAAGGTTGGGTCTTCTTCGCTCTCGCCCGGGATTTTTATGGAACCGAGGCTCGGGTCAGCCGTTCACGGGCATTTTCCACTCGCCCCGAGTTCTGCTCCACCTCCGCCTTCTCCCGCATCTGAGGTCAGAAGCGCAACGGAGCTTGGCCCGCCGTGGGGAGAGGAGTTGTTTAGACCGGCGCAGTGACTACAGTGTGGGTCACAGAGCAAACCGGGTCTTTACGCTCGCGGAGTTCACCCCCGCGCATGGGGAGCCCAGGCGAGCCGGCCGAGATTATAGAGGATGAAGAGGGATTGAACGTGACTGCTACCGTAATAAGTTATGTAAACAAAACAGTGGAACAAAAGGGCAGGGACCCACCTGAAATACCTGCGTAAAAAGGTCTTTTGACCCAGTAGTCTGTGACTTTGTATCTGGAAGTAATGCCAGGAGAGAGAGGGCCAGTCAACATTATTGCCTGTTGGTGGGAAGGAGCTCGAGTGGGGGAGGCAGGAGAAAGTGGATTGCAGTCGTGGCTCTTAGGGCTACTGAGCTCTGCGACCCGGGTTTCCTCTCTGCGTCCACGACCAGCGCTGCGGTGCCATACCCAGAGGTGTGGCAGCTAGAAAAGTAAAACAGGTTTCTTTTTTTAAGTGAAAAAGATACAAATACAATGAAAAGCTTACTCCTCACCCCCCACCCCCGAGTAACAAGACTAATGGACCCTTCATTCCGCTCTGCCTGAGACCGTATCTGCAGAGACGGGATCTCGGGGTGGTCTTTGCACAGGTGGGGGCCTGTTTTTGCGCTGCATTTGTTGCAGTGTTCAGATCCTGGAAGCAGCAGTTTGGCTGCATCTGAGTGTGTCATTTTCCCGCTTATGGTTGAAGGTTGCTGCTGTAAGCATCCTTGGGCATCCCGAATGCTGATGGCTTTGCTGTCTGTTGAGGCCATTTTCTCTAATCTAGGAAGAAAATGGAATGTAGTCCGTGTTCAGACTGGACTGGGGCATTAATTAAGAAAGCTGCACTGGTCCAGGTGAAGCAATCTGGGTTTAAAGACTGTTCTGTCCTTTATTCAACACTGTGACCTTGGGCTTATCACTTAACCTTTTGGATGTAGGGATCAAAGTGGATAGGATAGAACACTCAGTCACTTCCAGGATTAGTTTCAGAGGTCTTTCATCCCCTTGTACATGCCCTGAACCTCTCCATCACTGCTCCTCCAAGCCCTGCCCTCTTCCTGCAGTGGGTCTGTCACATCCACTGCCAACTCCGCAGGCCTAACTCGGACTGTCCTTCAAAGCCCCTCTGCATGAAGCCTTTCATGGTTTCCATTCCCCAAAGCTGGAAATACTCACTTATGCTGAGCCTCCCACGGTGCGTGCGTGATTCCTCTTTTACCACTTTTAAACCTAAAATTATAGTTGATAACTTTTTTGCATGACAGCAAGTACCCTGCGGCAGGGTGTCTACCATGTTCAATCATTGTGGTCAGCGTCAGCTCTGGGCCTCTGACATTGGCTGCTCCGTCGGGAGGCCTGGAGGACGTAACTCAGGATGGAAAGAGGCGGCGGCAGCGGAGCTCGAGGCCCCTGACATACTTGTTTAGGCCTGTGTGACAAGCTTTATAAATAGCTCCTACGTGAAGTACATGATTTGCCTTCATTAGATCCAAGGGCAGCCCTTTTTCCCCTTAACAGTTCAATAGCAAACAGTCTTTATTATCTCAAATTTCAAAACTCACACCTGTGGTTTGTGCGGACCCCAAACTAGGCCCGCTCCTCGGCTGCTGTGCACAGCTGCGAAACAGAAGAACAACGGCCAGAGCTTGGAGGAGGACGCAGGGCACAGTGAGCAGAAGGCAGACCCTCCCTCTACAGAGAAGACACTCCTGGAGGAGAAGGCCAAGTTGGAGGAGCAGCTGAAGGAGGCTACGGTAAGGCCAGCAGGCTCTGGGGAGAGCGAGTTCAGTCATTTGTCCAAGAACTACAGTTGGGCCCTACAGCAAGTGACTGTTGTAGGAACTAGAACACGAGTCCTTTGTGGCTCTGGTTCTGTCGTGAGACTCATCTTCACATACTGCATGGACTGGGCTGAATTAAGACTTAAGTGGTCTTGACAGATGAGTGTGCGGCACGCCGCTTCAGCTGGGTCTGAGGGCAGGGCTGGGTGGGGAGGTCGGGGCTCTGCAAGCCAGTGGTAGTGAGGAGGGCCATGTGAAACGGCACAGGTGGCAAAGCTCCGTTCGGTAAGGGTTTAGGAACGGCAGCGTCAAACACCTGTTATGTGCCCACACTGTCCTCACACCCATCCTGTGAGTTCACTGTAATATCCCTGTTCGCGGAGGAGGAAACTGAGGCACAGAAAGGCTGAGTAAGCTTCCTCAGGTCACCTAGCTGTCGTGCGCCAGGGCCAGGGTCTCAGCCTTCCCTGGAGACCTTGCCCTTAACCACAGAACAGGAGCTGCCTGAATGAAGACTGGAAACAGATGGGGTGTAGTAGTCAGCTCCCCCCAAGAGGAAGCTGGTACAAGATACATGTTGAAATGCTCGGGGGATGAGCGAGGTTGCATTAAAGGGAGGAGGGAGGATGCTCCCATAATTCAGGTGATTGCACAAGAAATGAAACAGCCACGTCTGGGCAACAGTAAAAACGCCCAGGTTTCATTGGTGGGCTTTTCTCTCTCCGATGAGATAAAGGCTGAAACTGTCCATGTGGGCGTGTGGTTCTCCTAAACCTCCAGGCGTGGGAGCCGCGGTGAGTTGGCCCAAATCTGGGTGCTAGGAGTCCCAGGAGTTAGGAACCCTGCCCAGGAAGTGAGTGGCCCTTCCTCGAGGAGTGATGAGGCTGCAGGCACCTGAGCCTATGTGTTTCATCTTCCCACAGCTGTCCACTGAGTAAGAATGGCCGTGGAGGCTGCAGAAGTATCGTTACCTTGACATGTCACTCCTGCTCATTGGAAACAGTGACACAGGCGTAATGTAGCGCTGGCTGTAGTCCAAAGTCTGAAACATTGTAACGGATGTTGTATTTTGACAGGGAGTTTGGGGCATCGAATTGCTCGCCTATGAATTCGTTCCATGCTTTATTCACGTAAGTTTCCTTTTTTTCTTTTTTTAGGAAAAATACAAACGAGCTTTGGCAGACACTGAGAACCTGAGGCAGAGGACCCAAAAATTGGTGGAGGAGGCAAAATTATATGGTAACTCTCAGCATTATATGGTGCTGGTCTGGGAAACTCGGGCCGGGAGGCCAGGTGGGATGCCAACCTTTGCACCAGACAGCACGCTCAGCCGAGGGGGCGGGGCCTGCTGCGTGTGCAGCCCCTCCCTGTCTTCTCATCCTCACCAGAGGACACGCTTCCTCATTTCAGAGGGGAGGAGGGGCAGAGAAACATTGTTTGCCTCTTGCACGTGCCCCAACTGGTGTCTAAGCCCAGAGTTCCTGTGCCCTGACCAGGAACTGAAGCCACAACTTTTCAGTCTACAGGATGACACTGCCACCAGCTCAGCCCCACCAGCTGAGGTGCCCCCTCCCGTTTTTAAGATGTGTCAGCAGTGAAGTGTGTGAGGAGCAAAGGCTGGGGTGGTGACTGGCATTGAGAGTTGTAAGCAGGGTCCCTTCAGCAGGGAGGGCACTTACTGTTCCTCCACACGGAGACCTCGCTGGGACCCAAGTCATTCTGGCCGGTCAGCCTGTCTGGTGCCCATTTCCTTAGCATCACCAGCAGTAAGGTCTCCTAAAATGCTGTCTGTGTTTGGGTACTTGCCACTGTTCTTCCCAGTCTACAGCTGAGACTCACTGAGGCTTAAGAAACTTGCACTGGTCACATAGCTGGTAAGCACGGCCCAGTGCTGCTGCCCCGCGGCGTGTGCTCAGCAACCCTGAGGCCGCCGTGTGCGTGCCAGGCAGGTGCTCTCCGGCGTGCACCCGCGGAGGAGCCCCTGCAGGCACAGTGTCAGTGCGAGGGGCCTGGGGCAAGCAGGTGCCAGTGGAGTGTCGTCGAATCCCTGACTTCACTTGGCATCGGAAACATTTTTGGAAGCCACAAAAATTACGTAGCACGCTGTTCCCTTGAATCTTGAGTGGCTTTCCTACTGTCCTGTCTTCTGTTAGATTAAGGTGCAGGCTTGGAGACCTGCCTTGGGCGCTTTCAGCCCACAGTGCCTGCCGGCTGCTACCCTGTGGCGAGCACTCTTGGTGCGGCGGGCACTCCAAGCACACAGGGCTCCTCAGCTCCGCAGAACTGCCCCACTCTGTAACCGAAGGCACAGACTGACCGTGGTCATGCAGCTGTGGAGTGGCCGCCCAGGGTGTGGCCCTTGGCTCCTTGCAGTCGGGGGTGGGGTGCCCTGCGCATGAACGTGCCGTTTCCCCTGGTCTGCTGGCGGCAAGGTCGTTCTGCAGATTGCCAGCTGCCAGTCTTCATACCTGATTAGCTCCGTCTCAACTCAGATGCTTTTGTTTCTTTTTCAGTCAAGCCACTGAAGTGACAGCTTTGAGTTACCCACTCAGTTGATATGGATGGAATGCAAATGTTTTTCTTTAACTTTATTCAGGCATTCAGGCCTTCTGCAAGGACTTGTTAGAGGTGGCGGACGTTTTGGAGAAGGCGACGCAGTCTGTTCCCAAAGAGGAGATTTCGGAGGGCAACCCTCACCTGAAGAACCTGTACGAGGGGCTGGTGATGACCGAGGTCCAGATCCAGAAGGTGTTCACGAAGCACGGCCTCCTCAGGCTGGACCCCGTGGGGGCCAAGTTCGACCCTTACGAGCACGAGGCCTTGTTCCACACGCCGGTGGAGGGGAAAGAGCCGGGTACAGTGGCGCTGGTGAACAAGGTGGGCTACAAGTTGCACGGGCGCACCCTGCGGCCAGCCCTGGTGGGGGTGGTGAAGGGGGCATAGCTGCCCACAGGATTCAGGTGGGCTTTTGGTGGTCACTGCAGTAACTCTTAAAGGGCTGGTTCACCTGGTCTCCTGGCCCTTCCCCACACCTTGTTGGAAAGCTTTAGTGTCCCAAGCCTGACGGGAAGATGAGGCGGAGTGCACAGCCGCGTTATCGGACTGTGATTTGGGAGCCTGTTTGTGGGTTTCCGGTACCTGTGTGACAGTTCCCATGCTTACGGGACAGGCCTGTGGGACACCACTGGGCCCTGCAGTGTCATGAGGAACTCTATGTCTGCTCTGGTCGTTTCAAACTATTTTAAACAAATAAAAGGTCTTGGGGACTCATGCTCTTTCACTAGTGGGCCATGCCCGGCTGCCTGGTGCGTCCTCTGCTGCGCTCGCAGCGCTCAGCTGGGGGGCACCCGGCCTCACTGCGCTCACTCAGGGAGAGCACGGCAGGGGCTGAAACACTGTGTCCCCGGTGGAGGACACAGGCGAGTTCGTTCATAATTACCATCTAGCTGCTAGGAAAGAGCAACTTCTGGCTTCTCTTCAGAGGTGTGAAGTGAGCATAGGAACCTCAGTGGTTCTCACGACCCTATTCTGCCCGTAACCAAATGGGACAGAGTCCACTTCTGCCATCTGTTCGTCTGCTCCTAGAAAAGTCTACATCTTACATTCAACCAGGTACTGACGATCTAAGGGGTGTCCCCTGTAAGACGGACTTCCTCAAAATCCAAGGACTGCATGCTTGCTGGATTTGAAATGTTTTGTTTTTTAATTCTGTTCAAGAGGATTAAAGCCCTAGCATTTATTTTCCTATGTTCTAGTATCTTGTGTACCGTGGTGTGTGGATGCAAAGGAAAGCGTGGCTTAGCTTTCCCATTCGTTGGTCATGCCATGGAGCTGTGTGCTTGACAGGTGTGGACACGTGTCAGCTTCTGTCGCAGACATGTGCACGCTGGCATGGCTGGCCTGCTCAGGGTGGACATGTCTGCCTGAGGACCATGAAGGGGATGGCAGACACTCAGGCCCTGCAGCAAGAAGTCTGCAAAGGCTGGGTTGTGCCTTGCCATAGGACTATCTGTGTCTGTTACAACAAAAAGAACCCCGTAGCCTCTGCTTCTAAGGGGTGCTTCTAGGGTCGAAGGTCAATACTCTCAGTCCATTACTGCATAAAAAGGGGGCAGTCGTTTTACCTTGCTTATGCCTTCGAAAAATGTCAGTAACGTTCCCATAATTAAAAATCAAAGTGCACACAATTCCAAAACATTTTTCCTCCTCTAGTTAGTCAAAGACACACCCTAGAACTGAAGGCAGCCCAGCCTCGTGCGTTGAGGACAGCGGACTCATTTTCAGAGAGTCCTGTGAGCCTGCGTGGTCCCCGCTCTTCACCAAGGGCTGCAGGTGCCGAAAGGCTCTCACCCAGACACGTGGGAAGCCTGTCTTCACCGAGTGCCGTCAGTCACTGTCACAGGGGAGCACTGAACCGCGCACAGCACGTCCTCAGTGTGTCTGTAGGTTCTTTGACTTCGAAGGAAACCATGTGTGATGCAACCAATTTTGCCAAAGGCCAATTGATATAAATGAGTTGGCTTCCTACAGCAGCTCAACCACCATAACGAGACATTCAAGGCCCTGCTACACGCGCACACACGCTGGGATTAACAGTTGTTTGCGCCCCGTGTTTCCGGGTTTGGCACAGGTGCAGCCTGGACACACACGAGGTGGCCCATCAAGCCAGCAGTCGGTGTGGTGACAGCCCTTCCCAGCCCAGCTGGCTCCAATGGGGACACGCAGGGAGCCTCAGAAGGAGGGCTGGCCTGGAGGGTTCCCGCCTACCAGAAGGGTCACGTGCCACCCCACACCGCACATTTGAAACCGGGCTCCAAGAAGCTGCCTAAGGCTCGCGGAGCAGGTGCTAAGAAGCATCCGTGACCCTGTTCTCAGCCTGCTCAGCGAGGGAGAGAGCAGCAGAAACGGCTGGGTTTCGGCGTCAATCCATTCTTGGGGTGGTGGCCATCCGGGGGCACTGAGGATGGCTGACCTACGGAAGCGACTCAAAAATCAGAGTTTAAGTTTTGAAAAGACCTAATCCTGTGGGATTATGATAGCTAATGTAAAGGCTCCGTGCTCAGCAAGATTAAGGACTGACGTGCCGGAGCTGGAGTGGGGGTAAAGGCAGCCGGCCCGAGGACCACTTCCCCTTGTAACAGAGTGTCAGCAATCAGCAGAAGTTAATGATACGTTCATTATGGTGCCTTAAAACAGTCAGGCCTAAACTCTTCGTACCATCAGAAAGATAAATGTTCTGAAAGGCTAGTGCGGTTTCTCATCTGACAGCTCCTGGCCTGGGCCACGCAGTGACAGGCGTGCTTTGCTCCTCATGTGTAATGAGAGTGTGGCAGTCCTTTCACAGAAAAGTAAGACGGAATTTAAAACCTCACGGAACCCGGCATCTGCCATAGAACATCCACCAAATATGACATTGGGGCAGCTAAAGGCAGTGATTCCCAAAAGCCAGCTGGCATCCAGGTCACCCAGAGGCTTGTGCAAAGGGCTCATGGGCCTCGCACCTAGTGACTCGGGACTGGGCGGCTGAGTGTCTGCATTTTAGCAGGTTCCCTGGGGAGGTGGGTGCTGCTGGTCCGGGACCCCAGGTGAGAACCACTGGCTAAGAAACCTATAAAAGCACAGCACTGGTCCCTCACTGCTCAGTGGCAGAGAGGACCGCTGTCAGGGGTGGTTACCCCACAGGGGCTGTCTGTCTTGCCACCGCTCAGTCTTGTCAGAGAGAAGTCCTGGGCTTAGTGAATGAGGAGCACTTCTCTGCCAGCGAGGCCATGGACTATACAACTGAAGCCGTATGTGGTACATTTGAAATGTTTTATTTAATGCTGGAAAACTGACCCTAGGGGAAAGATGTAAAAAGAAAGGAAAAGGCACCATAATTAAGTTGTCCTTGGAAATGATGAGGGTCTTTCTCTTTTTTCCTTTCAAATGACTTCACTTTAATGGGACTTCAAGCTCACACACCCGGGAGGTCAAGTCTGAGTACCTGCGGGCAGAGGCAGGCCGCGTGCTGGGAACAGTGGTGTGCTGGGTCTGTGGTCGCTCCACCGACTCTAAAGCAGGGTCTTAGACGTGACAGCCCTGAGCAGCCCAGAAGACAAGTGGCTAACCCAAGTTCCAAAGGACGGTACCATGCAAGAGGGCCCCTGAAAAACTGCACAGGGCCGGGCAGAGCCAGGTCAGAGCCTGGTTCAGCACAGGGACCCAGAGAAGCAGCGCACGGGGCCCGGAATGGCCACGTGGGCTGCCCCCACCTTGCCTGGCTGGTTTGCAGGGCACCCAGGGCCACCTGAAGTTCAGATGCTTCGCCAGGTTAGCCTGGTCAGGGTTTCACTGAACAGGGCACTTAGAGCTGTGATGAAAGTCCTGGAGGATGCTACCCCGTAACTGGGAACTCAGCTAGGAACTCTCTAAAAGAAGGTCCAGCAAGTACAAGAGCAGCCTGTAGTGGCCCCCAGAAAGGCTCAGAGTCCTGGCAGTGGCACAGGTCCTCCCGCTGCCAGGTTTCCCTGCAGCTCCCTCTGCACTAGGGGGCGCTGCTGAGGGCCCTGTCCATGCCCAGACTGAGCCAGCAGGGGCCTGCCAGGCCAGGGGCACTTTCAGGGTTCGGGAACTGCAGGCTCAACACTCGGCCCTGCCAGCAGGTAGGGGAAGCTCATTTGGTCACCGTGCTCACCACCGTCCTCTTCCTCAAGTTCCAAGGACACCTCCCACCCTCCTCCAGCCCCCTGCCTGCCTGCCTGCCCTGCTGGCCCCCATGTAAAGTGCCGTGTGCCGGGGTGGGAGGGAGCCTGGCGCACTGGGAGGGGCCAGCGTACACCGTGTACCGAAGGGGAGGGCTCACAGAAGGCCACAGTCCGCTGTCAGCACGTCTCCACACCCAACACAGAAAGGGAGATGGTCCTCTTCACACCTGCCTTTTAGGACTGAGGTACGACGCACATGTACCCGTCTCCCCCATGATTTAACATTGTTACTACTGCTTCTTTCGGAGGACCATGAAAAGAATTTGTATCCTAAAAAAAGAAACTGCTGAAAAAAGAACCACCGGTGGGAAACAGGCTGCTCCAGCTGCGCCCCACAGTCATCTCATCTCATAAGCATGTCGGCGGCCGCAGCGTCGGGGCGCCGGCCTCAGGACGCATCCCTGGATATCCAGCCGCTCTCCGTGAGGAAACTCAAAATCCTTTTCTTTAGGACCTTGTCCAAGTAACTGGGCAGGCGGCTCTTAGAGGGAATCCCCTGCCGCTTCTGGAGGTGGTCCTTGATGATGATGGTCTTGGCGGTTACGTAGCGCGCGGGGCTCAGGCCCAGGGAGCTGCACAGCGCCTTCTCGCGGTCAGACAGCAGCTCGAAGCCTGGCAGGTGCTCGATGGCGGCGAACTCGCCGTCCTTGGCGTCCTCCCGCCCGCGCTTGGCGCCCGCCGAGCCCCGGTTCTCCTTCCGCTTCTCGCGCTTGTGCCGGGCGGCCTCGTACTCGGCCGACTCCTCCATCTTGGTGATGCCGTTCCGGCGGTAGCGCTGCAGCTCCCGGATCTTGGCGCGCAGCATCTTCTCCTTGTGCATGCTCTCGAACAGGTCGTCGAACTCCTTGCAGGACATGAACTGGTACAGCGGCCGCAGCTTCAGCCGCAGCTCCCGCTCCTCCTTGGTGACCTTGCGCTTGGCCGTCTTCTCCCTGTCCTTCTTGTCCTTCCCCAGGAAGGCGGGCACCAGGTTGTAGTCGCGGGCAATGTTCTTGCGGCGCTGCCGCTCCCTGAGCTTCCGCACGTACATGTCCACATGGGCGCGCTTGAGCTCGATCTCCACGTCGTCGTCGTCGTAGTTGACCGAGAGCCCGCTGATGAGCGTCTCGGCGTCCTGGTCGTACTCAATCTCGTAGTCGTCCCGCAGCGGCATGTAGCCCAGCTGCTGCTGCTCGGCCACCGAGATGTCTAGGGGAGGCAAGGGGGTGGTGAGGCTGGGAGAGAGGGGGCCTCCACTGGGGCAGGTGTGGTCTGTCACCCGGTTGGGGATGGTGTCAGGGATGCAGGCCTTCCCCAGGTTGCCGTGGATGTACATGCTTACGTAATGCTCCATCACTTCCTGGGGAGTCCGGGAAGCTCCAACATGAGCAGCCATGTCTTCCTACAAGGACAAAGGTCAGAGTCACTTCCAAAGTCAGAGGGTCAGACTTGGGGTTCATACAAATTCCCTGAACATTTTTGTTTTTGCACAGGCTACCTGGACCACTTCCTATTACCCTGCCCAGACACCTTACCACTCCCACTACACCCCGCCTTGGGCCGGGCTTATCAGCCAATGTCAATGCCAGTCTGTACCAGACAAACTGAAGACCCAGAGAGGTGCCACATCTGCCTTGGGTCACGCGTGAGCTGGCAGCATGGCTGAGACCACAGCCCACCTCTGAGATCTGGACTGACGTCCTGGTTCCTGAGACAGGACCCCCAGGCTAACCCTGCTCTGGAGCGGGGCAGGCGTCTGTGAGTGGAACAAGACACAGGGGGACATGGCCACAGAGCACCTGGGTGCTCCACTCCCACCAGTCCAACCTGTTCTTTCCCAGATGAGAGAACAGACTCATCAAAGTTCATGGCCCAGGTTCCCTGATTAAGAAGGGACCCCATTCTGCTATGCTGTCTGCCCCCAGGGACAGCAAGGGCCCCCTGTTCCTCTCCGAGGTGGTGGTGTAAGGGAACAGATGAATGCCTTTTAAAGGGCCGGGGGCTTCATTTCTGACAGCCCCACCCTTTGTCGGCTCGGAAAACCCGCCCAGGCTGCAAGCACACACTCCCGCAGGAAGGCCGCCGTGAGCACCAGGGTTATTAATGGGAGGAAATAGTACAAGTCCCTCAATCTTTTCCTTCTGCCAAGAGGCCTCTTCCTCCAATCAACCACTAAAGCCACTTCAGAACACAGCCGCCCAACGTGCACGCTCACCCTGGAACAGCCACTCGGCGCCCCGCCCGCAGCCTCCACTCACCCCTCCGCTCACCCCTCCACTCTCCTCTCATGGCCAAGCTGCCTTCTGTCCACAAGGCTCACCTCTGTGAGAGCAGGTGCTCTCTGTACCCCCAAAAGCCCAAACGGAAAACCCTGAAACCAGCCAGTCCGTGCAGGCAGGGCTAAGACAAAGCGGGAATGGAGGGGAGGGAGCAGTCTCGGTGCAGTGACCAGCCTCTAGGTCTGGGCCCTACTGGACCCTGCGGGTGGGGCTGCAGGCCCGGGAACGGTGCAGGCAGTGCTGGGGCCTACTGTGAGAAAGGGGGGACCATCCCCGTATAGGGTTGAACTGTTCACACACTTTCCTATTTCAGAAAGTCACTATAATCATCAAATCTGTTCACTACATTTTCCCAGAAAGCATTTAATCAAAAAAAAATAAAAACCAAATCACAAGCACTCCCAGCATCTATTGTCACTCTATGAGACCCAGGCCGGCCACCTCTCAGCCCTGAGTGCCCCATGCTGAGGGCGGCCACAAGTGTGGTTGAGCCGAACCCACCAGCCTCTGCAAAGCTGCAGCCACTACAGATCCAGAATCTGGTTTCCGGGGAGCCTCCCAGGCAAGGAGCTGGGTGCAGACCGCAGTTGCATGGTCAGAACTCGGGCCCTGGCCTCGCTCTCCCTGGCCCAGTGAGAAGACTGCCTACAAGTCCACTGCTGCCCCCCAAGCCCCAGCCACCTGCCTTTCAAAAGTTATCAGCTGCTCAGGGCACCACATCTGGATAAAACTTAAGTCCAGAAAAAACAGAAGGATTCTGAGTAATGAAGGGGTACCTGACCAATCAGAGATGATGTGTTCGTATTTTTTTAGTTACTTCCATCAACTTCAACACTCTGGGGGAGCCTCAGGGCTGGGGCCAGAGTGGGGAAAGGGGGAGGGTGTCACACGCCAGCACTCCCACCCTCTCCCGCCCAGCACCCTCCAGGCTGCACACCAGCTCCTGGCCAGGATCAGGGGGTCAACTGAGGACACTGTGCTGACACCTGGGCTGCCCGGTCCTCTGTAGGTAACAGGGGATTCTGCTCTCTGCTGGTATTTATGAAGCCACAGATCAGAGGAGCATGTCACCAGAATCCCAGGACGCCCATGCCAATCAGCCCGAGGGCCAGCCTAGGAAGCCTGAAGGCCTCGCACAGAGCCAGGCCACCAGCTACTTCCGAAAGACCGCACTCTGACGATGAGTCAGGGAGGCCCAGGACAACACAAGGCCGAACTCTCAAGGCCTGCGAGATGGAGTGAGAGTCTGGTGGACCAGTCGGAACGAGAGGCTACAGGGCTCGGACTGTAACAAGGACCCACAGAGGACACACAGCTTCCATGAAGTGAATTACAGTGAGGAAGATACTTGAACAGATGATGAGATTAGCACCAGCTGCCGGGCACTCTGCGGTCACGTGCTCAATGTTCTCTCCAAGCTCTTCACGGGCCAATGGCCACATCGTAGCCACCTGTCTCCTGGGGGAGAGAGGTCCTGTCACTGCTTCACAGCACCACACAGGTCAGCAGCAGACGGACCAAGACCGCAGCTCTCCCCCTCGCCCACCCCAAGGTCAAGGTTTTTGCTAGATCTGGATGGACGCACGGACAGACAGATGGGTGGACGGGGAGGCAGAAGCCAAAGAAGCGTGTTTGCGGGAAAGGGTTCGAAGACAAGGTTCCACTCCAGCACACTGAAACAGGAGACACGGCTGCGCACAGACGCGGGCGCCCCGCCGTGCACACAGTTACAGGGTGCACCCTGGTGGGGGCAGGGCTCCAGGTTTGTTTCTTCATCTGTGTTCTCTTAAAAAAAAAAAAAAAAAGACTTCCCATCTTTGGAAAAAGAGAAACAGGTATGTGGCTTCTTTAAATCCTTTTTAAAAAAAGGACAAAAGTGTTTCTAAGCCACACTCAGCCCACGAGCTCCCCTTTCCAAGGTCGCTGCCCTCAGGCTAGGACACGGCCTCTCCAGGGAAAGCAGTGAGCTTCCCACTAAGTAACGACCATGCCAGGCCCTCTGGCTGCTCTGGCCTCCTGCCCGCCCGTCAGGGCTCACTCATGCTGGCCTCCAGCTCAGAAGCAGGGAAGGGAGAGTGCAGCCCAGAGCGGTCATCGCTCATGCGGAGCAGCCGCCTCCCACCAGCAGGACTCGCTCAGCTGGGGCCACCAGTGCATCTGACCTGGACATCCCCACTCCGGGACTGGACGGGGCCAACCTTTCCTGGCTCCACCAGCAAACCACTGCCCTGCACAGCAGGCTGTCCCGGGATTCAAGAGGGAAATTTAAGAACAAAAGATGATACAGATTTTCTAAAAGCTAAACTTTGCCATTAAAAGATGGTCCTTCATTCCAAGATTACATCCTTACCACTTGGAGCATATTAAGATAATCTTTCTTTTTGTGAAATGGTGATAAATACCTGGATCTTAAAAAAAATACTTTGACAAAAATATTTATATATATATATTTATTTAGCCCTGGTTAGTGTGGCTCAGTTGAGTGCCAGCCTATGAATTCAAGGGTCCGCTGGTTCGATTCCCAGTCAGGGCACACCCCTGGGTTGCAAGCCAGGTCCCCAGTAGGGGGCACACGAGAGGCAACCCACAATGATGTTTCTCTCCCTCACTTCCCCCCTCTAAAAATAAATAAACTTAAAAAAAAATTACTCTTACTTGGCAAACTTCAGTAAGCAATTCTACATCAGTTTTCAAAACCATCCTAACAGGAATGGCAGTGGTCCTCTGCCTGGGGTCCCTGAAGCCCTCCGCATGCTGCCTAGGACAGAGCTGCCTGACCCATGGCTCCAGCCTCGCCCTTCCCTCTGAGCTGGAGCAGGCCCTCCTCACCCTTCAGGACAGGGCACATCCCCAAGGACTGTCCTCGCCCGGCCGCCACAGGCCTCTGCACCCCCTGTTGCCTGAGCAGCGCCACGAGGCCTCTTGCTGCCCCTGGAGCTGCAGCTTCATAGTTGCTTCTGCCTCCTCGAAGCTCCTCCACTTAAAGAAAAAGGAAGCCCCCACCCCCACCCCTGGCGCCTCCACCTCTGCCTGTGCCGCCCAGTGCAGACCTGGGGCTCCAGGAAGGATGTGACCGGATGCTCACAGCGGCACTCAGGACGTTCCGGAGCAGAACCGCCCAGGTGCACAGGAAGGGTGTGCACGGAGCTACAGTTCGCGGCTGTTCCACTGAAGGCGCTGCTTGGCGTGCAGACACCGAGCATCACTCACAACATCCCAAGTGGAAGCAGCCCAAGTGTCCGCCAGCGGGTGAAACGTGAGCAAGACGAGGTCCAACCATGTGGGGGTCCTGCCTCCAGGCAGGCAGCTCCGCCGCCACAGGGCGCGCCCGGAGGACACTGCTCGGTGAGTGAGCCAGGCCTGGCAAGACGGACACGGTCCTGAGGTCGGGGTCAGAGAGAGCACTCGGGCTGGCTGTTCCTGGGCCGGGGGCGGGGGTCAGTGGTTGCTGGGGACAGTTTCAGTTTGAGAAGATGGAAACTTCCGGGCGTGATGGTGTGACTGCGGCCCAACAATGTGAATGCCTTCATGCCACCGACTGTTCACTTAGAGACCGTTATAAGGGTGAATTTCACATTGTACGTATTTTACCACAATAAAAGTACACTTTTCAACATAAAAAAGAGCAACAACTGTAAAGTGGCAGACTTTACTCCGCGTCAGTGGTCCCCACTGTGGAACCCCCAGGCGGCAGCTCCAGCACTGCTGGCCATTTTCAGACATGCACACTTTCGGGCCCGCCCCACACCTCCCACTCAGGTGACGAGCCCTTTCAGATCTGTGAGTCCTGCCCAAGGTCTAGGGCCGCGCTCCGCACAACCCCATCCGTTCCGGCTGCTCTCTCCGTCCAGCCTCTGCCCCCCTCCTCCCCACCTGTGAGCGCAACTCCTGAGAACCCCGCTGTCACCGTGCTCTCGGGACCGGCTTCCCCACACCCCATGACTTGGAGACAGGTGACCGTTCTCACAGTTCCTAGATGTGATCCCATGGACACACTGTGTCAGATGCCCGGGGACCTCCCTGTAACTCCCCTTTCCGGGCCTCCCCACAGAGATGCCAACTCAGGTGTGGGCTGGTCCCTGGGAATCTGGGGATTCACAGATGATTCTGCTGTGCAGTTGGAGAGCCAATGAAATAGAAGGTTCTAGGCAGAGTCAGGCCTGGCTCAAGTTATCTCACTGCCTACAGCTGCTGCTCCTCTGTATACTCGGGACCAGGGGCCGAGCCCGGGGAATGAGGGGCAATGTCAAGGGCCCAGCTTGAGACCTGGTGCTACTTGGTGAGAGGAGCTCATTTGGAACCAGCTCCCAAACCCCACTGTGGCACTCAAGGATTCTCCAAACGTGGTTTTCCACACACTCTTGCCTGCCTGTCCCCAACCTGAATCCTCCATTTCAGGTAACCTGGCTTTACCTGGCTCCCGGACACGCCGGCCTCCCGGAACACGGGAGCCCCGTCCACACAGTCCCTCTGCCTGGCAAGCCTTCTCCACTGCTTTCCGCCAGCGAGAGCCTGTGCTCCCGTAACTACACAGCCCCGTTCAAGGTGACCCAGCCGTCCCATGTCTGTCCGTGTTCCCACCACAAAGCACAGGCTGGAGGACAGTCTGTGCCTCCGGCACGGGCGCCGACACACAGTGGGCCCTGCTGCGTTGGTGCGAGGAGAACGAGTGAGCGATGTCACGCGTGAGCAGCAATCCTCTACTCACCGGCTCACACCCGGCCTCCTGACAGTCCACTGTGGCTGCGGAAGCTAAAGGCTCCGGCCGGACGTCCCCAACAGCCAGCCCGGACACACGTGCACAGGCACAGGCCCTGCCCGGTCTACCGGGAATTTCACATACTTAAAATTGTTCTGTGCCATTCTGCAATTAAACTGGAACCTCATGCAACATCACCTGCCAAGTAATCTTATATGATTTTCTTACAAACAAGGACATTCTCCTATGTAACCACAAACCACTCTCAAAACTAGAAAATTAAAAAGATGCATTATCATTATCTAAACCTCTGTTCCCACGGGAGTTCTGTCACTCACCCTAACACCCCTCCACTGGCGAAGGACCCCCTTCAGAACCGTGTGCTGCTGTGTTTAGCTCTGCCCTCTTCCTCAGTCTCTAGTGGTCCTCGCACACATGGGTTCGGACACCTAACTGTGGTCTGCCTCCCCCACCACACAGATGTCCTCCTTCCCCACTCGGCCTGTGACCCCCGCACTGGCCACCCTCTCAACCACCAACACCATTCTCACTCCACTGGGAAGCCTACATCCATGCTGGGTTGCCCACATCACATTTCTTGAGCTACAGAACCTCGCGGCGCCCCCTGCGTGAAAACCCTACTCACCCTAGTAAGGCCAACTTCATGCGTGGCTTCTCCCCAAACCTCCCTCGGCTGCAGGGACGCGCCCTCCCCTTGCCCAGGCCACACCCCTGGCTACACAGGCTACACCGTGTGCTCTTTAAATCCCTACTCGAGCTCCACAGGCAGTGCCCACCCCTCCCCACCAGGTTCTTCCAACCACCACCTGCAGAGGAGCTCTGGCCTCCTCGGCCTGTTCCATCCCCTGGCAAACAATCCGGAGGTCTATGGCTCACCGACCACAGTCGGGAACCATCCTAAGAGGGAACTGTAGTCTACGCTGTGTTTGCGCCTGTGTTCAGGCCTGTGTTCACGTTCCCGCAGCATCCGCACAGCACTCAGCACGACACGACTGCCTTGGGACGCTCAATCCAAACCCGTGGCGAAGTGGCTGTGGGTCCCCAGCCTCGTGCTCACAGGCTCCACTGTCTGCTGGTCCTTTCCGCTGCTCTCGTCAAAGCACGGGCGCAGACTGTGGGAGCCTGGCCGCCCTGCTCGGCCCCAAACCTGCCTCAGCCTCCCCATTAGTGTCCCTCAGTCGTGCCTCTTCTCCAGACTTCAGCAACAGCCTCTCTCTGGGGTCTCCTGAAACTGCCCTGTCCCCATGAACTCCACACACAGCAGCACAGCCCTGAGGTCACAGGTCACACCAGAATGAACAGCCTCACCTTCCTCCACGTCACTGTCTGTCCCCAGGGTGCGAGCTGCCTTTCTCCACATTCCACAATCCGCCTGCAAATCTGACTCTGGCACCAGCAGGCCACCTTCCCCACCCCACACAGCGACCTTCCATGGAACCCGGCCAAGGCTTCACTGGTCTGAGAAGCCCGTCCAGCCACCCCTTCAGTTAGGTGCACCAGCAGGCTCCCAGCCTCCATCAGACCCATGTTAGTTAATGGTCTTATGCTGAGAGATTAAGGCCCAGCCTTTGGAATCGATGGGCCTGCATCTAAACCCTGGCTTTGGCACATGAAAAACCAGGGCATCCCGGACAAACACTTAAAATGACCAGAGTCGCTGTTCTCTACCTGCACACGAAGAAGCTGCTCCATGGCTGCTGTGCAGAGCAGTGACATAACACTCACAGCACACACCCACAGACCTCTCAGAGGGAGCCGCACAGCTCGGAGCTGCACGCAAAAGGTCCAGGGTAGAGCCGCCAGACACCAGAGCCCCACTGCTCAGTGTGGCCTGTCCGGGCGAGGCTGGCACACAGGGCTCCGGCCCCTGCACCCCGCCCCCAGGCCCAAGCACTGCTTCCTTCAGCCGTGTCTCTTCTAAGAGCTCACATGGCTGAGTGGGAATGTGCAACGTAACCAGCTCCCCAGGTGACCCACGTGCGCATTAAAGTTTGAAAAGTACTGCTTTAGACAATGCCCTCCTTCCAGCCCGTGCCTGCTCCAACCCAGTATAAATGTTTTAGTTCCTGGGCTTGTTTTTCGTGTATTTCCCACAATGCTGCAGGGGAGGCAGTGGGGACAGCGCTCGGAGCATGGGCTCTGCAGTTAGACTACTCATGTCAACCTGCTGCACAGGCTGCCAGGCACTCGGCAAGGCACACACCCCGGCAACTACTTTAGCTGCTCCTCCAGAGCTGTGTGCTGGAAGGACGACGTGAGGAAGGAATGTGTCTCTGGGGCACTAACACATGAGAAGACAGACCAGTCACGAACCATAACTGGGGAGAAGAGCCCTCTAAGAGAAAAAAGAAACCATCAAGGGGACAGCAGCTGAGAAACCGCGGGTCAGCAGTCACTGTGAAGCCTTGCAGGCTGCGAATTTAATCTAAGCAGCTCGGGAAGCCACTGAAGGGATGTGACATGACATGTCTTCCAAAAGCACTCTGATTACTATGTGTGAAGTAAGCCATAGGGCTCAAGGTCGAAGCAGGGAGACCACATGGGAAGTTCCAGAAGTCACTGAGCCAAGAGAGTAAAACAGCCCGGGCTTCGGCCATGAGAGGTGGCTTGATTCCGGAACCATTTTGGGGACAGGGCTGCTGCTGATCTGGACCTGGAAGGAGGGTCCAGTCTGAGTAACTACGTGAGGTGACGTGACACTGGTCCAAGATGTCCCTGAGACCAGCAGGTGAGGAAGGGGAGCAGTGTTTTGACACTGAGAGCGTGGGCAGGAACCCAGTCTAAGGCCTGAGTAGCGACAGCTCTTAACAACAGCACTTCAGGACAAAGTGGCAGAGGTTTCTGGAGAGCGGCAACCCAGTGCTGGTCTGTGGGTGAGGGTTTGCAGAGCAGAGTCAGAGGGGCTGGGAGAGGAACAGAGTCCAGGGTGCAGAATGGGTACTGGTCCCTGGAAACTGGCACACTTTATGGAAAAGAAAGCAAAAGATTAGGGAAGCAGGACAGGTTTGGGGATGAGAGGAGCGGTGTGGAGCATCTTCTACAGGAGCCCGGCAGGGAGGGAGTGCTTCTGAAGGGGCCAGATGAAGTGCTGGTTCAGGGAACAAGGGACCCAATACAGGAAGCTCTGGAAAGGTGAGGGGCTGGGGTCATGTCTCTCCTCCCTACTCCTCACAATGCTGGAGGCAGCCACTTACCCTGGGCAGTTCTGGGCCAGAATACAGCCCATCTGGAGAAGGGCACAGCTCCCCATCCACTGGTGTCAGTGGGCCCAGGCCAGCTCTCACCTTTCCCTGTCCTATAAAAGCCTCTACCAAAACCTCTTGACAGACCACAACACGCAGCACAAACGCCTCCCAGCCCGTGCTCCTCTGTACAGTTCCTACTGACCACTCCTCACACAACGTCCTGGGTGTTGTGAGGACCCAGGGGACACAGGTCCCCAGGGTCACTGGGCCCCTACCTGCACAGACAACGCACACAGAGAGCAGGCCTAGGAGTGCAAAGTGCATCCAGAATGGCGACAGAAGCCCCAGGGCAGGTGTGAGGCTTGTCTGGCCTTCGCCGCCACGGTTCTGCAGGCACAACCCGCTCGTTCCTCAGTGCTCCTGCTGCCCCGTAGGTTGGCTCACCTGCGTGTGGCCGCCAGTTCCTACTCCACCAAGGATGGCGGCGCCCCAAGTCTGCACTCAGCAAACACCTACAAAGTATCCCTAACGGTCTGGAAAATGGCTCTGCTGCCAGAAAGCCAGTCAAAACCCCTGTTCTGCTACTTCCTGGCTGTGTGACCTTCCGCAGGTTGCTTCACCTCTCTGCGCTTTGGCTTCCCGTGCGAACTGCCTCTGCCCACCGGCCCTCCGTGCTGGGCACGGACCGAGCAGGTGCACCTCGCCGCTATATTGACCAAAAAGGGGACCAAGCTCCCGCGTCTCCCGCCCGCGTCCGCGCAAGGTCCGTCACTCACCCAGTTTCCGAAGCCGAACTGTTCGATAGCATCCAGCAGCAGCTGCTCCTCGCGGCTGGTCCAGCCGCCCTCGGCCTCGGGCCCCCACAGCGTGAAGCGCCCGCCGTCCACCAGCTGGTAGCCGTGGTAGCGGCGGTGGTGGCCAATCTCGGCGCCGGCCGAGAAACACTCGGGGCACAACTCGATGTCCTGGCACTCGGTGCAGCGGAAGCGCAGCGGGCTCACCTCGGCCAGGCAGTACACGCAGTACTTCTTACCGAGCTCCGCCATCTTCCCCCGCCCGCCGCCCGCGCCCGCCGCCGCTCCCGCCGCCCTCGGCGCCGCCGGGGCCGCCGCTTCGCTCCAGCAACCGCCGCCCGCCGCCGCTGCCTTGCCTGCCGCCGCAGCGCCGCCCCACCCAAGCGCCGCCGGAGCCGGCCAGCCGGGCCGCGTCCCGCCTCAGCACGCAGGCGCCCTCCGGCCCGGACCGGCCGCCACCGCCGGCGCCGTCGCTCCGCCGCATCGCGCAGGCGCCCCGCGCGCACCTCCGCGCGGAGCCCGGCCCGCCGCTCTGCGCCTGCGCGCCCCTCCCTCCACCACTTAACGCCACGCCCCAAGCCTGACACCCGGAAACCCAGGGAAAGCTAGCGAGGCAGGCGCGCCCCGCCCCTCTCGGCGCGAGCCTACATCCTCTTCCAATCAACGCTGCCGGTAGTCCTCCTGCGGCCTCCCATTGGTTTTAAAGCAGGGGGAAGGGGCAGGGCGTCGGACTGACGTCTGGCCAATCGCGCGGCCCACCGCGAGTGCAGCTGGTTGCCCCTGGAAACCCAACAACCAGCCGTCAGCAGAGCCAGTGAGAGATGGACGATCCCCCCGAGCCCACTGGGGCCTCTGAGCCGAAAGACGGAGATGTGGTGAGCCTAGCCTCGCGGCTGTCCGGGATCAAGGTCAGCTCTGGCCCCCAGTCCCCGGCCGAGCCAGGGGAGCCGGAGCCAGAAGCCGTAGAGACCTCGGAGGGAGGCGTCGCTGCTGCCGAGCCCCCCGAGCTGGCTGAGCCTCCCGAGCCGGCTGAGCTCGCTGAGCCCGCCACGCTTCCCGTACTTCCCGAGCTCCCCGAGCCAGCCGAGTCGGACGAGCCTGCGGACCTCGCCAAGCTCCCGGAAGGGCCGGTGGCCACCGAGGCTGAGGGCGAGGAGGGGTCCGGAGAGCAGGAGGAGCCGGTGGAGGCCGAGCCAGAGGAGCCAGCCGAGCCGAGGTCCGCAGGCGGGCCCGAGGAACCGGAGAAGGAGAGGGAGGAGGCGCCGGAGGACAAGGAGAAGGAAGAGGAGGCAAGGAAGGCGGCAAGGAGGAAGAAAGGCCCGTTGCGCACCTCTTGGCAGCTGTCCACGGACAGCCGGGGGAAGGATGAGCGAAAGGGGCCGGAGGAAGAAGCAGAGTACGAGGAGAGCGAAAGGAAGAGTGTGGAAGGAAGCGGGGCGAAAAGCGAGTTCTGGCAGAAAGGTCTGGACGAGAAACCCGAGTACGAGGATGTGGAATGGACAGAGGAGGTGCAGAGGCAGCAGGAGCAGCAGCTGCGCTCTGAGCTCTTGGACCAGCACCGCTCCCTGATGGTGGAGCGGAGCCACTACCAGCGCTACAACACGTACCTGCAGCACAAGATCTGCCAGGCGCTGCGCAAAAAGAAGGGCCTGGACGCGGCCGAGGTGCCGGACATGGGCCCGGAGCCCGAGGCCCCAGAGAAAGAGCACGCGTACATCAGCTACCTGGCCGTGCTGGAGGAGCTCAGGAAGCAGCGGGCTGACGACCTGGCCTGGTATCACCAGGAGCTGGGCCAGCTGAAGCAGCAGTGCAAGGAGAACCTCTCCAGGGTGGAGAAGGAATGGCGAAGATTCCAGGCGCTCAAGAAGCAGGTGGTGATGCAGGCCATGGGCAGCTGTCGGATGAGGGGCGGTCGCCAGGCCGCTCTGCGAGAGGTGGAGCAGCTCCAGGCTCTGGAGGAGAAGAAGGAGAAGGAGATGAGCGCTGTGCGGCTAGAGAATGTGCAACTGAAGCAGAGCCTGGTGCACTTTGAAACCAGGATGAGGGCGCAAGAGGACACCACTGAGGGCCTGCTCCTCATTGATTTTGAACAGCTTAAGATTGAGAACCAGACGTTCAATGAGAAAGTTGAGGAGAGAAATGAGGAGCTTTTGAAACTGCGCAACAAAGTGGACAACAATGTGCAAATAATTACCCATGTGAAAGAAATGTTACACTTTGTGGATATCGAGAATGCACGCAAAAACTCACAGCTTTTGGAAGTTGACAGTCAGGTAGCCCTAAGGAGGGACATCTTGACCAAGACTAAACAAGCTCGGGACAGCCTGCGGATTGACAACATCAAACTGAATCAGAAGTGTGGGCTTCTGGGCAAGGAGTCACTCCTTCGGGACATGGAAGAGAAAGCGGGCAAGATTGAACTGCTCAAGGAGCGCCTCGAATCTCTGAAGCGCCACCATGCTGGGCTCACTCTGTCCTGCAGAGGCATGAGGCAGAAGATCCGGGAAGCCAAGGCCTTCCTCCCCTCCTGACAGCAGCAGACCAGCTTCATCCTCGGCAAGCGTCACCCTTCGTTAACTTTCATTCTCCACTTTTTGCCCTTCTTTAAGGCCTGTGATATTTAGGATGGAACTACATTTTGTGTTTATCTCATAAATTTTCAGCTTCCCACTGGGGACTGAGCACAGAATTTTGTTAGCAGTCAGTTTTATACGGGGCGAAGTAAAATAGGCCCAGAGAAACAAACGAGAGGTAATGCACTGGATTTGACTCCTCGTAAAAAGTTGTCAAAAGCCTTTTTGTATCTGAGCAATTCCATACTTTCAGTGACATGATACCCAGGAGAACAGTTCCTCCTCCACACACGGGAGGGTTCAACTGATGTGTAGGGTGTCCCCAGACTTTCTGTACCATTAAATCCCTTTGAATTCATTAAAACCATGTAGCCTGTGTTAGCCCTGATTCAAAGCTCTTTAATTCCCTTAGATTAACCTAAAGTTGTTTTATTTGTGAGTAGCCCAGCTTCTTGGGCAATAAAAAATAGCCAGCAAACTGGGGAGCTAGTGTCCCTCCATCCCCCTTTTTTCAGTGAAAGGAGGCTCAGTCTGCGTAACCACTGATGCTTGTTTCTGCCTCAGCGACAGTCTTCAATTCTCGTGCAACATTTTCTTGGATCCCCTGAAGGAATGTGTTGGTCTGTACCAATACATGGATGGCGGTTTGTTTCCTAGTGGAAATAACGATGGCTGTGTTTTGCCAGGTGCCAGATATCTGGAGTGGTGACTGCCATCCGCGAGCCGTTTGTTTTCAGCAGGGCGGCAGCACCTCGCTGGGCACGTGATTTACTCCGTGGCCAACATTCAAGCGTTGTTGCTCCTGTGCTAGTGCCGGGAACACCCGACAGGTCTGCCTCCTCAACTCAGTCATCGGTGGACGTTTTCAGTTTTCTTTGATGCCTTTGGAGCTGGAGGCTTGGCTTCATCTCTCCTCAGTCCGAGATTAAATTTGAGGTCTGCAGATTTGGGGGTAAAAGTATTCTCCTATCCCTAAGCTTAAGGGGATCACAAGAAGGGCAAGCTATTCCCATCTGTTCTTTGGTGCCAAATAGCTGTTAAGAGCTGGCAGAAGCCCCACCCTAGACCGATGGTTCTGCTGGTCGTGAGCATGTCACAGTGGCCCTTTGATGATTTTGTTCTCTAACCTGTTTTTGCTTTCATGCTGATAAAGGTTGATTAAAGTTCCTTTCCACATCCTACACCTTGAACACACTTTACGGGAGTCATGCATGTCTCCCACCGGGCAAAAGTGACCGTGAGGCGGGCAGACGGCGCTGACTCCCGACCTCCGGGCTCCACATCCTCTGCATGTTCTTGCTTTTTCTCTACCTGTTCCTGGAGGCCAAAGAGAAGCAGGAAGTCACTTCAAACAGAGCATTGTTCTCTTTGAGTCCTCGGAAAAAGCGACACTGGGTGCCCTGGTTGGGGAGACTTCAAAGCAAAACTAACAACGTGCCTGGTGCCCTCCCTGGGCCGGCAGCTTCTTAGCCTCCATCCCCGAGGTCACTCCAGGGAGAAGAGGCATCTTCAGCTGACTTTGACCCACTGGCTGCCCTGCGGGTCAGACCAAACGTGCCCTCGTGGCCCGACCCAGCAGCAAGCAGGTCTCTCTCTTTCTTTTTTAAAGATTTTATGTATTTTTAGATAGAGAAGGGAGGTAGAAAATGAGGGGGATAGATAAACATCCATGTGTGGTTGCCTCTCAAGCACCCCCTACTGGGGACCTGGCCTGCAACCCAGGCATGTGCCCTGACTGGGAATTGAACCTGTGACCCTTTAGTTCACAGACAGGCACTCAGTCCACTGAGCCACACCAGCCAGGGCAGCAAGCAGGTCTTTTCACAGCAGGAAGATACCAAAGAAAGTGAAGAGGCTGCCATGACTTCAAGGGGCGGAGCTACCAAGGCTCCTCTCACAAACTGGTACTGCATGCTACAGTGTTACAATTAGAAGATAATCTCAATTACTTCGTAACAAGTTTCGTTCTAATTAGATTAGTGGAGAGCTCAATCATGAAACAGCAACACTTCACTGTTTCAGGCAGTCTGCCTGGAGGAACCTGAAAGTGTCCTCTCCGGCCTCCCGGAAAGGCTTCGGTTAGCCCACCAGCCCTTGACACACTGCGTTGCGACTGTCTGCTTAGTTCTCTGTGCCCCCGGCAGGCAAAGGGCCCAGAAGGCAAGGCCTTTGGGTTTGTCACCCCCCCCCAGCAGCCAGCACGACGCCTAGCATATCACTAGTTCTCAGTATATTTGCTGAACACATTAATAATGCCAGGCTCGTTCCCCAAAAATAAGTGTTGTCTGAATGACTGTGACAAATGTCGGGCACTGTGGATTATCACCACATTGGAATCCAAAGCAACGACAGGAGGAAGAAGGGTTCCTCAAGAAGCCAAACCAATGAGGGAGACCACGGGGCGGTGTGCTTGTCCCTGCGGCCACAGGGCCGTCCCTTCCAGGACCGGACGCCTCTCAGACAAGGCTCCTTCCTATGAAAGCTAAAATCAAAGGTGAAAGATTTTTTCTTCTCCTTGTCAAGACATGCAGGGCCTGAGAAATGGCACTGCAGTAAGACTCAGGTGAGCTGTCCCATGACACTGGACTTCTGGAAACTGGTCTGAGTGCTGGCGTCCCCTTCTGTGTCACCGGAGGTGGCTCATGGCGGCACTGGCAGGACAGCTGAAGAAGACCCTTCTTCATCAGTACATGAGAATCGTTTCTTGGCAACCTACCACATTTGGGACTTTTAAACTATGTAAGTTCATCGGCAGCCCTAACTTAGACTTTGCCACTGGTCACACTGTAAGCCTGTGCACACAGTAAGATCACAGTCGATGCACCCCGGTTTGGTGTGCGCTCTAATGTCTTAAACTTTCAGAAAGTCTTACGTCAGGATGACAGATCATGCCAACACGGTGATGGCAAGGACTCCAGGTGACGCTACCCTGGAGGGAGGCTACCTGGTCAGGGGCAGCAACAGCCCAAGCCCCCGGCAGTCCCCGGTCGTCCCACGCAGCAGTCCTTTCGAAGGGCCCTCCAATTTCACGTAAATGACCAATGGTTGAATTTGTGCGAGTTTTAACTAATCAGTTCGCACCCTCCCCAACAGGCCAGTTGAAGTCCTCCAATGCTCCGCCTGAAGGGTGAAGACAAACGAGTACTAACGAGGGGCGGGCAGGGCAGCGCGGGGGAGCAAAGGCGCTGGACTGGCCGAACCAAACTCGGCTCCCACTGGTCTCTGGGACACACGCCGCAACGCCCCAGGCCTCCATGGGCTCCCTGGGAAAATGGGGAAAAGAGGTCAGAATATGGAAAAGGGTCTCTTTTCTGGGTGGGATAATGATTTTCATTTTGTGCTTTTCTGTAATTTGTCAATTTTATGCAATGAGCAGTGGGGTGGGGCGGATTCTGATTTGTTGAAGCCCGTAAGTTCGCCAGGAGGGAACGACAGGCGAACTGAGACGTCAGGAAAGTTGGCTCGTCAGGAAAAAGGTCTCGCTATCCACGGTGAACCGTTTCCTCTAATGGCACAGTCAGTTCAGCCGATTATCTTAATCCTTAAATCGGTGGCTAGGTGCCGGGTACCCTTTTCAACCTTGGCCACAAAAAAGGAATATGAGGCCTAGAGAAGTTAAGTTCTCCTGTTCCTGACCTTTAGCTAAACTGCACCTTAAACTTAGGTTTTTGACTGGAGCAGTTTCAGAGAAAGCGTTGGGATTCTGGCATCAGTTGGGCACAACTTGCTTTGCTGTGTTGTTCAGGGTGAAGGCCACCACCCCTCCGCACTCAGGGGACCCTAAAGGGCTCCGCATCCTGGGGAGATGGGGCTTTGGCGGGGCCTGCCGGTGCAGCAGCTCTGTCCTACAGCAAGCTGACTGCAGGGGCCGGCAGCGCTCCCGAGCAAACCTGAGCTGGGCGGTGCAGCGGGCCTCTCAGAAATCCCCGGGGACCAGAAGTCATGGCTGAGTTACCGGGGGTCCGGGCATCACTCAGAGCTTCATGTGGCCCCATCTGAGGATGTGCTTTGGCGCTAATGCTTCCATCTGCTGGGCCACCTAGAGGGACTCTTCCTCTGGTCCACGTGGTGACCAGCAGCTCATTTCTATGTCCAGCTTGGTGTTGCCTCGCTGCTCCGCCCTCCTCGCTGGCAAAGCATCTCGTTCCCCCTCTCGCCTTCTTGGCAGGCACCACACTCTGGGTGGTGGTTCTGAACCGGCCACGCCGCCCACCCACCCAGTTTCGCCTAGGAAGACATTCAACTTCCACCCGGCTGACTGTGCGCTTCCCGAGGTCTGCCTGCAGGCACCGGCCGCCAGGCAGGCATGGCCGCATCCCTGCTCGCGGGGCCTCGCACTCGGGGTCTCAGGAGACCCTGTCCCTGCAGGCCTTGCCCCAAACCCTGCGCCTGGAGTGGAGGTTGGCCGGAGGCCGGGAAGCCAGCCTGCTCTCTGAGCGGGCACTTCTGCGAGGGGGCCTGGGAGTGGCAGGCTGAGCCTGGGCCCCACATGCCACTCACTGGCTGTAGGAGCCACAGCAGATCACTTCCTGATGTCACACCTTTGAAAGGGGACAATGACAGAGTGGCTGTGGAGATAAATGAGGTCATTCTGAGCACGTGAGCCAGAACCTGGCTTGGGTGGGTGGAGCAGCCAGCCGTAAGACTATCCCACGTAACCGACCACTCCTCACTAGCTCACTCAGCCCGTGGAGAACGGGGACAGTTCCAGGGGCCAGGGGGGCAAGGCAGTTCCCTGGGGAGAGAGGCAGGGCTGTCTGAGTGCCACCTGGGCATTGAAGACATAGGAACACGTGCCTCTGAGCTGCTGCATCCCAAGGAGGGTGGGCAGGGAGGCGTGCAGGGGTACCGTTCCCCAGGCTCAGGGTGACATGAGGGGTGAACAGGAGGGGCGGCAGCACCCGTGAGTCATGGAGGACAAGGACAAGGGGGAAAGCAGCCTGACAGGGACCTCCTTTGAGCCTCCTGTTCTCTGCCCCAGTAGCTGGCTGGACGGGCACAGCTGCCCGGGGACCCCGAGCACCTCGCCAGCCACCTCAAGTGGGGCTGCACCACTTGCCTCCGCTGCACCAGTGGGAGCCCGGGCCCCCACTGGCAGGTGGGGGAGCTGGCCAGCAGCACCGGGCTGACCAGGTAGCTCAGGGAAGTGGGCCCAGCAGCAGGCACATTGGGGTGGGGCAGCAGGCTCAGGAGGGGGTGGGAGAAGGGGCTGCGGCTGGGGGCAGAGCCAAGCTAGAGGGGCAGCCAGTCCCGGGCTCCCTTTCAGCTCGGACGGGACGCACTCAAATCCCGACCCCCTTGACCAAATTACCAAAACTGTGCCATCCCTTTGATTTCACTGATCAAAACTGAAATTTAAAATTCTGAAACAGCATCATGTTCAAAGTCATGTATTTGCCATGCTTCAGGGTGAGCACTTTTTAAATTTTATGGCCAAAGGACCTGAATAGACACTTTTCCAAAGAGGACACACAGATGGCCAACAGACATAAGGTGCTCAACTTCCCTAATCACCAGAGAAATGCCAATCAAACCACAGTGAGCTATCACTGCACACCTGTCAGAATGGCTGCCATCAATAACACATGTGCTGGCGAGGAGTGGAGAAAGGGGACCCTCAGTGCCCTGGGGTGGGAACGCAGACTGGGGCAGCCACTGTGGAAACAGCGTGGAGATGCCTCCGAAGTGAAAAGTGGATCTGCCCTTTGACCCGGCAACCCCACTGCGGGGAGATCACCTGAAACACTGATCAGAATGAACACATGTGCCCCGAGCTCGCGGCCGCGTCCTGCGCAGCAGCCAAGACCCGGATGCAGCCCGAGCGCCCCTCCGCGGCCGAGTGGGCGAAAGAGCCCTGGTGGGTCTACGCAGCGGAAGAACCCCACCGAGCCGTGAAAAAGGAGGCCCTCCTACCCTCTGCAACAACACGGATGGACCTGGAGAGCATCACACTCAGTGAAATAAGCCAGAGAGAGACAAGTACCATATGATTTTGCTCGTATGTAGAACCTAATGAACAGAACAGAAACAGACTCACAGAGAACAGACTGACAGCTGTCAGAGGGGAGGGGGCGTATGGGACTGGGTGGAAAAGGTGAAGGGATTAGCAAAAAAAACCCCAACCAAACAAAAAACCCCTCCTGTACACAGACCGGAGTGTGGTGGCGACCAGCGGGCAGGGGGTGGGGAGGCAGGGGAGGGTGGAGAGGGGCAGACAGCAATGGAAGGAGCCCTGCCCCGTGGCGGTGAGCGCACAGCACGGTATCCAGATGACGTGTTACAGACTTTACCCTGAAACCTATTCAATTCCACCCACCAACGTCACCCCGGCAAGCTAAAATACATACAGACATACAAATGTGTGAGAGAAAAAGGGGAGAACTTCAATTTTAAACCAAACAATGTACAAAAATTTTCTTCTGCTTTGAATAAAGTTACTCTGCTTGTATTTTGCTTTAATTATTTCTTTTCATTACTGAAGTCAACAGCTCTTCGTATTGCCTTAAATGAAGTAGGAAAACTTGTAAGGTATTTTGAAAGAAAATAAATAAACCACACAACAGTGAATATAAATAACAATTTTACATGACTTTTATTTAATAAAACCATATATTTACAATTCAAAAAGTCCTAATTTGATACTTTACTAAATAAAAGGTTAACTGTACAAGCAATTAAAACATGATATGTAGCAAGTGTTATCAGGAACTTTCTACCAGCAAACTATTTAAAATAGTCAAAAGTGAGCAGTTAAACAGAACCTCTGAAAGTGAGACTCGCTCCTGGAGGAGGCTCCGGCCCGGGGGGCAGCCGCAGACCAGGGCCGCCTGCCGGGTCTGGGGGGCCTCCCCGTGCCGCAGCCGCGCTCTCCACTCCAGTCCTCCCACTCCGCCCAACTCCAGCAGCCCTCCACGGACAGGGGCCACGTGACCCTGGGCGAGGACCGAGGACCTGGCGGCGTCTGAAGGGGTGAAGGGGACAGAGCAAACCGGTCAGACCTCACGGGGTCCCTGGGCAGCTCACGGAAGCCTCTTCAGAACTACAGATTTGGCCAGCACTCCAGACTGACACGGAATCCCGTTCAAACACTTAACGTACGTGTGGCGCCACACGGAGGTGCCACACCGACAGCCCGCGTGACGGGCCTGGTGTGAGCACACGGAGGCTTTCTGCAGGCCCAGCACCGCCCAGGCCACGCCCCTCTCTGCCCCCACCTGAGGAGTGTCCTTGCGGACAATAAGGAACCACGCCCGTCTTCCAGGAACAGGCGCCCACGTCAAGGGACGAGACAGGCGGGCTGCGAGGGGCAGCTGGGCCTGCTCACATTCAGCGTGGCAGCGTCGGGACCCGCTGCATCTGGGCGGCGCTGAGACCTCGGGGAAGTCAGACCCTCCTCCGAGGGGTCCAGCGCACCTGTGTTCAAAGGCTGAGGCCGAATGTGGTGTCCACGGTGCCCTGCAGCCTCCTGGGAAATGCAGGAAGGGGATGAGGGACCGAGGGTGCAGGGAAGCCACACTCAGAACCGAGCCGGATGGAGGGGTGAGGGCCGCTGCAGGCCCGGCAGCTGGCTATGGCACCTGGAGGTGTCACCTGTGGGTGTGGCATAAATAGAAAACCCATGAAAGTAATACACAGCCAGGCTTTACCCTCCACCACAGGTCTCCCGGCTGCAGGCCACACTCTCAAAGCCAAGGGCACTCCCAGTGTCAGAAACAGGACCAACCCTGAGTCGCTCCCTGGACACCGGTGTGCCCCGCATGCCCAGGGACCGGCACAGGGGAGCCCGCCTCCAGAGAGATGTGCTGGTCCTTCGAACGGCTCTGTGCAAAGCCACCCGAGTCTTTCAATTTGGGTAACCAAACTCTTAGTACAAAGTTCCCAGAGCTCCTGAGGAAACCCGGGGCAGAGGTGCTGGAGAACCTGGGGGGACCGGCCGGACTGGGATGGCTGAGGCACAGACACCGCGCACGTGAGGGGGCTGTCTGGGTCGTGGGAGGGGCGGGGGGGCTCTCTTCTCAGTGCCCGCAGCAGTGGACCTGACCTTCAAGCCCCGTGCACGAGGAGGGAAGCACGGGCACTCGGGGCTAACGCTGCCATCCAAGTGCCACGGAACCGCGTTCTGCGAGGGCAAGACAGCAGCCCCCGCCCCTGCGCTGTCAGAGGTCTGCCAGAAACCAGCAGGGGCCGGGGGCGGGTGCCAGCACCCCTGTGCCCTCCGCTCCAACTCCGAGAAAGGCTGTTCCCACCCCGCCTGTCAGTGCTGGCCTGTCTCTGCGACCTCTGTCCGCACAGCCCACACGCCCGCCCACTTTCCCAGGTGCCCAGCGGGTGGGGCGTGCCCTCAGGGGCACGGGGCTCCCACAGGACCCGCCAGTGAGTTCCTGGCCCCTGGGCTGTGGCCGTGGCAAGGCAACGTGGTAAGACATGAACCCGAGGGCGGCTGGAGCCCCAGGGTGCCGTGAGCACTCGTCAGTGACCGCCCTGGAGGGCTCGGTGCCTCTGATGCATGTCCAGGAGGTGGGCTTTAAGAGCTGACCGCTGTTCCGGGGCGGACGGCTACGCTGGCGACCACCGACTATCAGAGCAGAGAACTCCGGGCCACGAGCCCCTCTGAGGGCTCCCAAACCACTTCTCACGCACCGCGGCCAAGAGAGACGGTCGCGTCCTTTCCAGGAGTTGACATGAAGCATCGCAATTTAATAACTTTCCCTGGAGTAAGGAGGAGGGAGTCAGCCGCCGCCCTAGTTCTAAACCGCGCAGAGTGTGCAGTGGTTGTCAGGCCAGCACTGGCTCATCATTCCACTGAGCTTCTTAAGGCCGAGCCTCGGTTTAATTCTTCACAAGTTTTGTGCGTCTGGTTTAAGGCCAACTCCAGCATCAGGGATCAGACTCGGCGACGGCCCGTCCTCAGCTGCCAGCGTGTCCGTCCTGAACAGCACAGGTGCCGCCGGGAGGCCTCCTCCGGTGCCCAGCGCCAGCCTGCCGCACCTCAGTGTCTGAGAGATGGGCTTCCTTTCTCCACGTCCCGGGTGTCCCTCTGCAATGCAGTCAGCACCTGGGAGTCACAGGGGGGACACCGTGGGTAACCTGCACACACGCTGAACCCAGATCCCAACAGGCCAGCGTGGCGACTCCGCCCCCCAACTTCTGTGGCTCCTGAGGCCGCCTCCCTAACACACCACCACTGGGCCAAGGCCCCCGACCACGTTCCACCAGCCGCAGTGCCGACATCCAGACGGGGCTGCAGGGCTCCCCCCACACCCTGCCCTGTCCTCACCGCCACCAACGCTGGGGTCCCGCTCCTCCCTGCACCTTCCCAACGTGGAACCAGCTCCTCTCTCTCTGCTCTCAGTTAACACCTTTATTGTTTATTTATTTATTTTTAAAGATTTTATTTTTTGTTACAGAAAGGCAAAGGGAGGAAGAGAAACATCGATGTGCAAGACACATGTGCATCAGTTGTCTCTTGCTCACCCCCAACTGGGGACCTGGCCCGCGACCCAGGCCCATTCCCTGACTGGGAATCGAACCCTCTGGTTCGTAGGCCCACACTCAGTCCACTGAGCCACACCAGCCAGGGCTAACCGATAATTTTTTTAGTTCCTAAACACAAGATACAAAATGTCAGATCTAGTTTTCATTCTTTCTGTGAGTGCACATGTGTGGGGTATGTACACGTGTGGGTGTCCGCGTGGGCAGGTGGGTGTGCACGTCTGTGCTGTGCATGACACGCGGTTGGGTGAGTGTACCTATGGGTGTGTGTGGGGGGTGTGCACCTGGTCATGTATGTGGGTGTGTAAACGGGGGGTGACCGTGGGGCAGGACAGTGACAGGCAAGGGAAGACCAGCAGACGCTGACACACATGTTGCAGGGTGAGGTGGCGACACAACCCAGGTGTGCTGGGGCGGGACCGCTGTCCCCGGAAGCGTCCTCCTGCCTCAACCGGGAGTGTGAGTCCGTCTGCGTGCCATCTCGGCACTTTTTAAAGGGTGTCGGGGCTGGAGTCCCAGAACGCTGCCCACGACACAGGGCACCTGGTGCCGAACCAGGGGTCTGACCTCCCGGGAACTCAGTCTGACAGAGGCCCTCAGAGGCAGTGGCAGAGCCTGGCCTCGCACCCGGGTCTCCGGCACAGGGACCTCTGGGGGGCCCCTGAGAGGTGCTCCCTACACCACCCCACCGAGCCCCTTCCCCTGACCCACGTACCTGAGCCCACTTCCTGTTCCGACTCTGCATCTGCACTGTCGCGATCGACGCGAACAACTCCTCCGCGGGCAGGCGGTCGGGCAGCCTGGTGAGGAACTGGGCCATGTGGATGAAGTCCATCTTGGTCAGGATGTCCTCGAACAGCTTCAGGAGGCCCAGCGCCGTGCGGAACAGAAACTCCTCCCCGTCGCGACAGAACACATCCCACACGCGGCAGGCCAGGTCCAGGGGCAGAGACTTACTGTACAAGGTAAAGATCCTGGAGGAGGGGGCGGAGCTTTTCAGGGTGTGGGCGCACGCAAGGAAGACAAAGGCTGCCCTACAAACGCCCCCGCCGTCGCTTTCCTGTTTAGATCCGTACGACGGAGGAGGAAAGAAACCTGGGCACTTACACAAAAGTCTGCACTTATTCTAACATGTTTGAACTGGAGTCACCTGCAAGGTGCTCTCCGTGTGATGCAACACACCTATCAAGATGTTCTTCCCACTGCTCACCACAGTTTTGAACTCGTTGACTTTGATGCCTTTTAGAGCTTCTGACATTTTTTGTTTCACCTCTCCCACGACGGCAAAACATTTCCCTTTGAGGACTTTTTTATCAGGAGAAACAGAAAAAAGTTGCTCAGGGCAAGACTGGGTGAATAGGGAGGGTGGGGCCCAGGGGTCATGCCATTTTTGGTCAAAAACTGCTGAACACTCAGTGTGGCATGGGCAGGTGCACTCGTAAACCACCCACCGTGAAATGGGAAAACATGTTGAAAGGGTTAAAAAAAACCTCACTGAAGCTGAACACAGCCTCTCGAGACACCACCAGCTAGTCCACTGAGGCAGAAGGTTCCACCCAGTGGGGGAAGCCTGCACCACAAGGGCCCGCCGCCCTGCAGAAGATAATTCCAGTTTTCTGGGGGCCCCTCATACAGAGGGGCCGGCAGGGCAGGAGCACAAGGCCGATGTAAAAATGGCATGAGACAGCATTCCTGGCTCTCATGCAGGACTTCAAACACAGTTCGATCTCTGAGTTATTGATACTTTAATGTGCGCCAAGCGCATATCAAGCGCCTGCTGTGAGGCTGCTACGGTGGAGAGAGCTCAGCGTCCCGGGCGGGGGACGAAACAGCGCACAGCAATTCCCAACTCAGTGCGCACAGGGACCCGGCCCCTGTGCACACACTGGGCACTTTTTTCCCAGTAGGGATCAGCAATAAACAAAGTAAGTTTTTTCAAATAAATTTGACCTTGGATTACAAGCCACTGACCTTAACAATGCAGACCATCAGATGAATGACTGCTAAGGGAAAACACGAACACGTATTCCCTTAAAAATCTGTGATCTCCAAAATCTGTGATCTCCAAGAAGCAAACCGCCGAGCAAACACAACCCTGAGGGCTCCCCAGTGCGACCTGAACGGAGCAAGCCCACCCGGTGCCCCAGCAGAGGCCAGGGGCAGGGCAGCCAGCGGGCCTCCCTGAGCCCGCCCTCCTCCCTCAGATTGGGCCCCGCCCAAGCCCTAGCCGGATGCTCCTTCCTGCCTGCCCTCCCCAGCCCTGGCGCGCATCGCAGGGCCCTGCGATCGCTTGTGTCTCCCATGGAGGGGGCACGAGGGCAGGGTCCCTGGCCCGCGTATCTCGGGGTACAGCACCCCACGGGGCCATCCGTGCTGTGGGAGGGAGCGGTGGGCAGACTCCCGGTCTGCTTTGGCGGTCAGAGGGGGTTTCTCACTAGAAGTGGTAACTCTCACCTGATGGGGACAGTCCCCATCCCTCCCAGAAAAAGCACTCCTCCACAGACGTCAGCACTTCCTTCAGTGTTTCCGAGTGCCCGCCATGCCAGCTCAGGAGACACGGGCCCGGGAGACCCCGAGCTCAGGCCCTGGGCTCGCACCTCAGGGCTGTGTAGGCAGGAGAGAACGCCGAGCAGCTCACAGCCGCGGACTCTCCCTTGCCTGCAAGTCCCACCAGGAAGAGGGCACCATGCGAGCCAGCCTGCGCATGGGTTCCACGGGTTCCACGGGTTCCACGGGCACAGGCTCTGTCTGTAGTGAACTCTGGGACGTAATTCAGCCCACACCCTCCCTGGCTGGGAGTTCTGCCCGGAAACAGCCTCCCCTCCAGACCTGCAGGGACATTCCCGCATCCGCACCAGGTGCAGATGACGCCCCGATGATGCTCAAGGCTTCCCCCGTGAGTGCCTTCAAATTCTGCAAGATGCGTCCGGCTGGCCTGGCTCAGTGGACTGAGCGCCGGCCTGTGAGTCAAAGGGTCACCAGTTTGATTCCCAGTCAGGGCACATGCCTCGTTTGCAGGCCAGGTCCCCAGTGGGGGGAGGGGGGCGTGAGAGGCAACCACACATTGATACTTCCCTCTCTTTCTTCTTCCACTCTCTCTAAAAATAAATACATAAAATCTTTAAAAAATTCTGTAAGTTGTAAGGAAGGCAGAGCAATGTAGGGGACAGGGAGACAGATGTCAAAGAAACTGCCCCGGGTCCTGCCACAGTAAGTGCTGGAGCCGAACTTTGAACCCAACCCCCGCCCATGCCCAGGTCACCCTGACGGCCCAGGCGGCCAGAGCCTGGCCTTGGGAATGTCACAGCTGGTCCCCGGCCTGGGCTCCTCACTGCCCTGAACACAGAAAATGGTCTCATCACTCAGGCCAGCAAACAGTGAAGGGGAGGCCCCGTCTCTGTGTCTGGCCCCAGCCTAGAGAGCACTCTCGTCTACCTAGGACACACTCATCTGTTTACTTTGTAAAAGAGGGGTCGCGTCGCGGGGTTTCACATCACAGGTTTTCAACCTGTGAGCCCGAACCCCAGGCACGTGCCCGGACTGCTTCCTGCCAGTTCATTCAAGGAAATAAACCCGCAAGGCCCTCGAGTCTGAAAAGCAGAGTCTCAAGTGAAAATCAACTAGGAAACAGGCCATAAGGAGAGAGAGACAGCAAAGAAACGCCTTCACGCAACCCCTTGGTTCTGAGGTGCGTGCGGTCTCCGTAAAGCACTTTGGAGTCCCGAACCGTCAGGTGAGGCCGACACATCGAAACCCAAGAGCCCGAGCGCCCACGCCCCTCCCCAGGCCCTGCCCTGCCGTCCTCCGGGAGCCGGCGCCGAGACGAGAGCCCTCCCAATCCAAGCAGTGAGTCCAGTCGTCAGAGGGAGTGTCACACGCTGCCGAAACGTCCAAGGAGGCTGAGAGCTGGCGGCCAAGCGTGTGCTTCACGCAGGGAGGTATGAGCAGCGCCACACCGGGGGTCGGTGCGGTTTTATGTACCCAGACGGAGTTTTAAGGACTTGTCATGATATCTTTTTAGAAAGATTTTTACTTATTTCTAGACATAGGGCAAGAGAGAAAGAGGGAGAGCAACATCAATGTGTGGTTGCTTCTCGTCCTGGGCCCACTGCCCAGGGAGCAAGTGGCTGGCACCCCGGGATTCATCACACTACACAAGCCACGCACAGGGCAGAGCCACCACGCACGTGCAATTCAGAGGCCGGTCCAGCCCTCCCAGGTGTAGACGGGGCTTTTGGGGAGGTGGTATGACGCAGCAGAAAAAGCAGAGAGACCAGATCACTCACTGTGCGTGGGTCACTGGGTAAGAGCCTGGGTGGCTGCCTTTGTGCCAAGACACGCACCTGCCCCAGGCGAGGCGAAGGTGAAGCTGGGGGGAGTCTCTGGAACAGCAGGTCTAGGGCAGGGCCGGAGCGGAACCTGTTTGCCTGTGCTCCCCCCAGTGCCCACCCTGTTTCTGATCTGAGGTTCCGCCTAACTCTTGGCACCTAGCCCAGAGCCGGGGGTCGCTGCAGACCAGCTCTGTGTGCAGGTACAGCAGGTGGAGGAACGGTTCTCTGTGCTCGACTCAACTGAGACATTTACGGAGGGCTTGCTGTGGTCCTCGCCCTGTGCTGGGACTGCAAACAGGTAACAAACATCCTGCTCGGTCCTTCCTCTACGAGGCAGTCAGCACGTCACTTCCTGATTCAAGCAGTCGGGAACAGGCTGACCCCTGCAGCAGCCTCGTCAAAGAACCATGGGCAGCACTCACAGGCACCAACACTTCCCATCAACAGGTGTCAGCAGTGGAACCCCGGAGCCTCCTTGTCACTTACAAGCCTGCACTCTGCTTCCCTTGGCATTTCCAACAAGGCTGGCCCCTGCCTCACACTCTCCTGAGCATCACCAGCGCAGTGACAGCATCTCTGGAGCCTGAGCCAGGGACCCTTGCCGCGGGTCATGCTGCCTCGTGACAAAATCCCCCAGAAAGGAGTTTGTGGGAAAGTGCACCAGCAATGGCACAGGCGACTGGGGCCCAGGTGCCCGCTTTGCCCTTCAGCTCGCCAGATGACCCCGGGCAGCGCCTCCATGCTCTGACCCTCAATTTTCTCATCTATAAGACGGAGCTATTCTGATTCGCACCAAGAGGCAGTTCTGAAGGTTCAACGAGGCCATGTGTGCAAGCTCTGCAGCTAGTTCCTTGCACACCTGAGGCCCTTGCATCGCTGGGTGCAGCGTCTCCAGACTGGAACCGAGGGGCAGCGGCCTGCACCCACGCTGGGGCCGCCCCGCAGCCTGATGAGCCCTACGGCCTAGCGACTCCGGGCTTGCGGCCTCAGCTACAGCTCCGACCCCAACGTTCGCTCCCAGCGAGAACCCAGTAGAGCCAGAGCAGGCTCGGAGTTTAGGGCAGAGGAAGCAAGTACCATGAACCCGAAGGCTCGATCCCACGGCGCAGATGAGTGCTTCACTAAGGGTCCAGCCTTCACCTTCTGTGAGTAGGCCTCTCTCTCTCTGTTTTGCCCTTTTCCCCCACTTGTTTGTGTGTATTTAAAAACTTTTAAAATATATTTTATCGATTATGCTATTACAATTGTCCCATTTCCCCCCTTCATTCCCCTCCACCCTGCACACCCCCTCCTACCCACATTCCCCCCCTTTAGTTCATGTCCACGTGTCTTAAGTTCTTTAGCTTCTACATTTCTCTCCTATTCTTGCCCTCCCCCTGCCTATATTCTGCCTGCCATCTATGCTACTTATTCTCTGTGCCTTCCCCCCCTCCCCTGTTGCTAACCCTGTCTGTGATCTCCATATCTGTGGTTCTGTTCCTGTTCTAGTTGTTTGCTTAGTTTGTTTTTATTTTAGGTGTGGTTGTTAGTTATTGTGAGTTTGCTGTCTTTTTAGTATACATGTTTTTTATCTTCTTTTCTTAGATAAGTCCCTTTAACATTTCCTAAAATATGGGCTTGGTAATGATTAACTCCTTTAACTTGACCTTATCTGAGAAGCATTTTATCTGCCCTTCCATTCTAAATGAAAGCTTTGCTGGATAGAGCAATCTTGGATGTAGGTTCTTGCCTTTCATGGCTTGGAATACTTCTTGCCAGCCCCTTCTTGCCTGTAAGGTCTCTTTGGAGAAATCAGCTGACAGTCTGATGGGAACTCCTTTGTAGGTGACAGTCCCCTTAGCTCTTGCTGCTTCTAGGATTCTCCCCTTCATTTTAATCTTGGCTGATGTAATGATGATGTGCCTTGGTGTGTTCCTTCTTGGGGTGTTCCACCTTCTTTGGGTCTCTCTGAGCTTCCTGGACTTCCTGAGAGTCTATATCCTTTGCCAAATTGGGGAAGTTCTCCTTTATTATTTGTTCAAATAAGGTTTCCACTTTTTGCTCTTTCTCTTCCCCTTCTGGTACCCCTATAATTCGGATGTTGGAACATTTAAAGATGTCCCGGAGGTTCCTAAGCCTCTCCTCATTTTTTTGAATTGTTGTTTCATTCTGTTCTGGTCGAATATTTCTTTCTTCCTTCTGGTCCACTCCACTGATTTGAGTCCCAGTTTCCTTCCCATCACTATTGGTTCCCTGTGCATTTCCCTTAGTTTAGCCTTTATTTGTTCATCTAATTTGTGACTAAAATCAACCAGTTCTGTGAGCATCCTGATCACCAATGTTTTGAACTGTGCATCCAATAGGTTGGCTATCTCTTTGTCACTTAGAAGTATTGGCTCTGGGGCTTTGAGCTGTTTTTCTGCTTCAGCCATAACATTTTGGTCTGTTCACGCCTGTTACATAGCGAGGGGTGGAGCCTTAGGTGTTCACCAGGGCGGGGCAACCCAAGTCTCTGGGTTCTGACACAGTATGTGGAGGCGGGGTCAGAGAGGGGAAAATGGTGCTTCGCTCCGCACTCTGTTGCATCCTCAGCCCCTTCCGCTGCTTCTTCCAAGCAAACTGGGCCTTTCTGGTACTGATTCCCGGGTGGGTGGGCTTGTGTACGTTCCAGGACCCTGGGGGTCTCTCCAACGAACTTTCCTGTGAGGGTTGGAGTCTCTCCCTGCTCCTCAACCCCCACAAGTGTTTTCAATCTGTGTTTTGAGGCTTTATTTCCCCGCGCTAGGACCCTGGTTGCGAGATCTGTCTCTCTCCCCAGTTATCTGTGCGCAAATGTGAGGCCGCTGCCGGGTCAGCCAGCCGCCTTGCCCAAGGTGTCCCGCTTCTCAGTTGCTGCCTCCGGGGTCTGACGGTTGCCACCCCATGCCCAGGGTCTGCCTGGTGCCGCCTTGGGCGCCTGGGGTGCCTTGCGCGGCCAGTGTCACTGCTTCCTGTGCCGCGACCCCTCTCCACTCGGCCGCCCGACTCCGCCCTGCCTACCAGTCTGGGTGAATGTGTCTATTTCAACTGCTTGATTGTCACACTTCCATACAGTTCAATTTTCTTTCAGCTTCGCTTGTTACTTTGTTTCTGAATTGTTATTGTCCTTATTTCGGTTGTTCGAGGAGGCACAGTGTGTCTACCTACACCTCCATTTTGGCTGGAAGTCCTTACCTTCTATCTCTTGAAGAAAGTAAGGAAAAAAACAAAACTAAACCAGCTCCCTGTTCAGTTACCACGCACATTAGTGTCAAAGCCCGCACAGGCCTTTTTGGTTGAGTGATGGCCCCTCGTTTTCGCAGTGCCCCTACGTGAGTTCAGGCAGGGCGGTCACTCCACAGTGCCCTGCGATGAGGTCCGTGGAGGAGGGAACAGGCTCGGAGAGGCTGGCGGCCTCCCCGAGGCCATGAGGCAAGTCCCAGCAAGGCTGTGGCTCGAGCCAGGCTTCAGGCTTGGGAATCGCAACCATACCCTTGTGTCCACAGTGATCTAAGACACGGCTCACTTCGCTCCCCAAAACCCACGCCCTCTGGGGTTAGACCCAGCCCCTCCTCAGGCAACCATGTGCACCTCCGTGTGAAGAGCTCCGCCCCGGAACTCTGGGAGCCTCCTGTCTTCCTGTCCACTTAGGTGCCCAACAGGCACCTCCGGCCACAGTGCCCAACCAAATCCGCTGCCACCTGTTTCCAACCAACGCTGGCAGCCCCGTGGCCCTCAGCAGCTGGACACCGGCGAGCAGACGATGACCCCAGCCGTCCCCTGTGCTTCCGCAGGCCTACACAGGCCCTACCTCTCCGTCTCGGCGCTGACCCCGGTCGTCTCCCTCAACCCATCTCTGCCTCCGGGCTCCCGTCTCCCTAGAAACCTAAAACTCCCTCTGGACAGAAGTCATCTTCATCTTCGCCCCAAGCGAAAACCTTCCCTGTGGCCCCTGTAATTCTGCCCGAGCTCCCCAGTGCAACATCCAAGATGCCCAGGGACCTGGCCCCGCCCTCTGGCCTGCCACCCCCAGCTCTACTGCAGGCCCCACATCACCAAGCCACTGCGCTAGTCCTGCCAATTCTGCACCACCACGTGCTCCCACCAGGCCCTGGCACGGGCTCCAGTGCTACCCCTACGCACTCTGACCCTTAACCTGGGTCTGGAGCTCTGTCCTCCCCAACTGGCTTCAGAGAAGCACGTCTCACGCTGTACAGCTGTCCACTGGCACGTGTCTCCCTCTAGACAAGTGCTCCAGACGGCAAGCTATGTGTCCTGCTCAGTGTTGGGCTCTAGGTCCCCACAGAGAGCCCAGCACAGACAGAGCTGGTGCTCAGTGACACCATGTTTAGCAAACGGACAAACGGCACCTCGAGGCCGACAAGGTCCGACATACCACTTCTCCCCTGAAGGACCTGAGAAGGGCCGGTGGGGCGCAGACAGTACCGGAGAAGCGCCAAGAGTACCGTGGATGCCGGGGGTGCCCGGGCTCAGGAGACGGGACAGGCAGCTGTGCCCTGAAGGGCCCTGGCCATGAGGCACGCGGGGCACCATGGCGGGAGAGGAGCACGCACTCGAACACAAAAACGCAGACTTACCAATCAATCAGGTAGATGTCTGGAGTTAAGTTGTTTTTCTTGAAATGAGCAAATAATTTCGGCAAATTTTCTTCAAAGAATACCTCAAATGCAGCAAAATAAGTCAACATCTGGGGAGATAACGTGAAAGACATGAATAAACTAATTACCAGCACACATTTCCAACTGGCAAAACGAAGTCTACACACTCCCAACCCTCCAGATGGGGCGTCGGGCTCGGGCACACAGGCCCCCTCCACCATGGGCACGGCTCGCCCCACTGCTCGCGGCACACTCGTGCTCCTGAGACCCTGGGCTGCTGGCAGACCGGCAGCTGGTGGCCTGTGTCCAGCAGACGTACGTGTCAGCGCCACTGCACCGCAGGCTCCCACGGTGAGCGGCGGTGGTCAGCGTGAAGCGCCCTGTAAGGACGACAGGCGCACGTGACTGCAGCCTGACGTGGGCAGCACTCTGCGCACGTGGGAAACCAGACACCGGGGCCTGCGCCGCTGCTGCCGCCGCGCCACCCTGCACTGCGGGGGTCAGGAACGGGTCCGCCTGCCGACACAGTCCCTAGTCGCTGCGGCGACTCCCCTTGCTGCACCTCGCTGTTTCCTCAACTGACAAACACCAATGCCGAGGCCAACCTGCCTGGCAAGGACAGCACTAGCGTGTGGCTGGGATGCACACCCATGTCCACCCCTCTGCGCCGCACTCTTTTCTGAGAACCAGGAATGAATTACCCGGGTAACACGCAGGCCTCCCGCCCAACGTGAGCGGCACAGCAGGCCGTGACTGTGGCGCCTCGGGTGTGGGCCACGCCGCTCTGGCTTCAGGGGGCAGTGAGGAAGGGGAGCCTCAAGGAGAACGAGCGGTTGCCGCCTCTGGTTCACCCGCACGGGCTTTCCGATCTCGCGGGGCCTGCGGGACAGCAGGGCAGAGTGGGGCGTGGTGTGCAGAGGCAGCCACTTCTGCGCTGGTCATGGCCCGGCCGACAGGGGCACAGCCCGGGTCTGTTCCACGTTCACCGGCTGGATGCAGCTCTCAGGTGCTGCCTGCTCCGCTTAGTGAACGGCCATCCTATAAACCACAGCTTTCAATGGGGCAGGTGGACTCTGCCTCCCAGGGACTTCTGGCCATGATTGAAGGCATTTTCGGTGACCACAACTACGGGGCAGGTGCTACTGGCACCTAGGAGAGGCCAGAGAGGACATCCAAGGTACAGGGGAGCCTCACTCACACCATCCGCACCCAGTGCCAACACGGACCCACCGAGAGTCCTGCTCTAAACAAAGGTCCCATTCGACATCACAATGCTATGGTTTTTCCGTAATAGTCAGGCCAAGTTCTTTTTTTAAGATTTTACTTACTTTCTTATAGAGAGAGGAGAAGGAGACAGGGAGAAAGAGAAACACTGTTCTGTAAGACAGAAACAGTTGTCCCTTATGCGCCCCCACGAGGGGACCTGGGCCGCAACCTAGGCCTGTGCCCTAGACTAGGAATTGAATCGTAGACCTTTCTGATTAAAGGCTGGCGTTCAGTCCACTGAGCGAGACCAGGCAGGGCACCCAAATTCTTAAGCACCGTTCTTACCATACGCTGCCAAAGAGAAAGCTGGGCCTTATCCTCAAACTGAGGAGCTCCTTAGATGTAAATCACCTCACTACAGGTGGAGAGTGTTTCCTGACTGTGAAAGCAGTGTCTAACGCCCACCGAAGGAAACGTCAGGCCGCCCGCCAGCGCCGCTCATGGGGGCGCGCTCCCTCTCACAGCTGACACGGCTGCTGCGAGCCTGGGGCCGGCTGCGCTCCCTCGAGCACGCGCACGTCCAAAAGAGGCCGGGTTCTGTCCTCGGTGCTTTTCTGCGGTGCGACTCCCGCACACACTGCCACTGCGCTGGGTACACCCCTGGGTTCCAGCCGACTGTGTCTGTATTCCCCACACCTCATTTCTAAAGGTTTCACTTTCCCACTGAGATATAACTTTAGGTTATTACTGGAAAATTACAAATAATAGAGTGACAACAGCTTTGTGCATAATGCTGACCACACTCCGACCCTCTCAGACTTCTACAAGCAGAATGACATGTATCACTACAGACACTTAACACCAAATCTCCCCCAAAAGGATTCTGCCTACTTATCCTTCCCCTAACAGCCACCCATCGAGCAGTTTTTAAATACTTAAAAAATGCGTGCACTGCCTGAGCAGGAAACACTCAGGAGCCCTGAAGATATCAAACAGTGAAATTTCCTTAGCTGACCTAAACCATCAGACCGCCTGGGTCTTCAGGTCATGGAGACAATTCCCAGCCCACTCTGTCAGCAGATCAAGGCCATGCTAATTCCAAAGACGGTGTGAGTGTTAAACTGGCAACTCTCCTCCGGGCCTCCGAGAGCACAGGGGCTCCTCAGCTCTTCCCCGGGCTGGCTGGGGGCTGTGAACAGGTGACGGCACTCTGAGCCTTGCTTCCCCTTCCGTGCCAAGTACACGCGGGGCCTCCTGGGCCACACCCTCGCTGTACATATTGCCTGGCACAAAGAGGGGACTGAGTAAACGGAGCCCTGCCATTCACCCGGGGCCTGCAAGAGCTCCCTGAACACACTGCTGCTGCATCCGAGGATGGAGCTGGCCCGAAATGGGCCTCCTGGTCCGGGAAGAGTGAGCCGCACCAGGACAGCGGGCAGCCGGAGCACCCCATCGCGCCGCGTTCCACAAGACAGACACGAGCACGGCGACCACCCACACCGAGTGCGTGTCTCTGCAGGAGCCCCTCCTCCCTCGTGAGCAGGACACATTCTTAGATGCTTTCTGAAAGACGGCATTCAGAAGTTCACACAATGTCTGCTGAACAAATGTTTTTAAAAATTGACACAAGGCCCAAATAGCCCTCCACCTTCTCTGGTGCTACTTATTCTAAACTCTCTTAGGAAAGGAAAAGCCCAGACTGACCAGGTAATTCCTGCTGTGTGAAGGTGCACACGCAGGGCACACACACAGGGATACTCACAAGGCCGTGGTCCACCCGGAAAAACGCCATCTGGCAGGGTTTATTCAAAAGGTTGGAAAACGCAATGAAGGCATCCGCAGTGTCCAAGTTCAGGATCAGCACTGCGGCAATGAAGGACATGCCCTGGACCTGAGGATGGGGGGGGGTTACACTTGAAGCCGGCCTGCACAAAGGACCAGAAGCCCCCCACCCACAGCTGCCCCCCCGAGCTGGGCTGACAGCCTCAATGCTGACCTGTCTTCCCGGGATGCACTGCTGCACCTCGTCACCACTCCGTCACCCCCATGTCCCCATGTGCCCAGGCACCCACAATCTGGGATCCTGCCCCAGACTGCAGTTCCCGGTGCCTGAGAGACGTGCACCCGACAGCAGGGTAGATCTGGGCCCAGGCACACACATCTGCTAAGCCGCAGACAAAGCAGCAGTGCAGTTTTAACGTGGTTATTGCTAAAGGCTTTTTTTTTTTTCATTTAACACTGAAAAATCACATGCAAAGAAAATCATATTGAATTACGTGACAAGTGCCATAGAGCGGCTGTGTCCATGCAATTTCTCCACAAGGAAACAGGCAACTCGGTGCCATGGGACGTCTCCTACCCAACCAGAACAGGGGCGTTCAACTGGACACCTGCCACTGAGATGTGCTGGGCACTATTCTTTCTCTTTAAACGGTGACAGTGTAAAATACTGGAGAAGTTCACTTACATAGCCCACATCCGGTCGGTAACAAGTGTAAGCGCCCAAAATACTGTGCAACGTGTCGTGGTACGGGCCACCCTGAAAGGAGCAACACAGCAAAGGGACACACGCAAGAGTCATGTTAGTGCCCAGGATGGCCGCCGCCACCTCACCCACTGGGCAGGGAGGAGGAGCTGGTTGCCAAGCACGTGCCAGCAGCTCTACACGGACTGCGGAACTGAACGGACAACCCACCAACCCAGTCAGCCCGGGAGTCTGCAACTCGATCTGCCAAGCTGCTCTGAGCACTGGTGGGTCAGCTGTGAGCGCCTCACTAGAAACATACCCTTAACTTGGCTCTTGCTGCATAACTGGATCTCCTTCGAAGGCCAACAGGCGACCAGGGCCCCAGGGTTCTCCTGTCCAAAGCAGGTCAGTGCTAACTGCTGTCCTGACTCCGCCTCCCAGTGGTACCCCTCCCCCGGGCCCCGCCCTCCCTGTCACTGCCTCACTTCTGGGTTTCAATGTGACGGTGTGGGAAATACACTCTAAATCCTAAGTCCCAACAGCCTCCATTTATCCCAGACCTCCCCCAGCTCCCCCACCCTCCAGATTCCCACTGGTCCCTGTGACTCCTTCTAAAATGTAGGTGCTATCATTGCTTTCTCTCAGCGAGCACAGAGAAAGCAGAAGTGCCTCACGGGGACGTCGGCATGTCTGAAAACACCAGAAAGGGCTGGCTCTGTGCCACGTGCTGACCGCCTTCCCAGTGCCTGCAGTGAGCAGGGGACAGAGCCTGGGCTGTGGCTGGGAGGAAGCCACTGTGCAGGGGACTGCGCGTGGCTCACAGAACGCCACGGCCCAAACCGTCATGCTGACACAGAACAAAGAGACACTTCCAGAACCGTCCAGAACGCAGGGACCAAAGAAGAAAGCACAGCGACAGGAGGGTAAAAGCGAAGAGCCAGGGCTAGAGGGAGACAGGGGGGTGGGAGGGGCCTCGGGGGCAGCCCCAAATGCCTGCCTGAGGACTAGTGACTCATGGACTGTTACCAAGTGACACCTGGCCCAAGGCCAAACGAGAAATCAAGGGCATTGCACGGAACTTCTCTTAGAGCTAAACGTTTTTAACCTCACAGAGCTCCCGCCGCTGCGCCAGTGTCCTTCATGCTCGGGCGCTGCCTGCCCTTTCCTCGGTGAAGAGGCGGCAGCAGGAGACGACACCGCCTTCCTCAAATGCCCACAGCAGGTCTAGACGGCTCGTGTCTCCCCGCTCTCCGCCCCTACCCTGGTTTTTCAATACCGCACGCCAATGACATCCGGGACCGTGGGAACCACAGATGGAAGGAGACTCACCCAAAGGGGCCCAGAGGGAGAGAGAAAAGCCACGTGCCCCACACCCACTCGAAAGAGGACTCTAAGCTGCTCCCCCTCTTCCTACAGCAAGATAATCACCAGTGACTCCCCAAGTCGGCAAAGCTGCGCTCCACAAGCACGTCTGGGTCACGGGTAGGCCAGGCTGGACCTCGCCTTCCGCAGGGCACTGCCCATCCCCAGGACCCAGTCCCTGTGCCCTGACAGCCCTTCGAGGCCAAAGCTCCGCCCCTACACTGTCCTCCAGAGCAGGACAGCTCCCAGCCGGCTCCCAGCCCACACAGAGCGGCTGGTGAGCAAGGCGCGTCCGCAGGTGGGGCTGCAGGGTTTCTGTCCCTCTGCTGGCAAGGCCCTCCCTCAACAGGAACCAGGGGTTCGCTGGCCCCTCAGTGGCCTGATGCTTCCATTCTAGTCCTTCTGCCTAGAATGTCTTTCCCTTCTCTGGCAGACTGTCATTCAAGCCTAGTCCAAGTGCAGCCTCAGAGCCGCTTCCCCAGGAACGCCACTCCTGACCCGTCCCGGACCCTCCCCACAGCCATACCACTAGGGGAGTGAGCCTTTACTCTTCTGCGCCGTGGAGTGGGTGGCACAGCCACGGCTTTGCAAAGCCCACACGTCAAACTCTCCACCTCCCACCTCGTTCTAGGTGGCTGATCACTGGCTTATTCTCATTTATCCAACTGCCCTTTCCTGCCTTCCTAGTGTTGCCGGGTCTGGAGCTAGACACGAGGGCGTGACAGGATCCAATAGGGACTCCAAGGTCACTCTGGAGGCAGTGAGCTGACTGGACAGAGGAGGAGGAGGAGGAGGTCAGGAGAGACGCACGGAGGCCAGGTGCAGCGGTCCACAAAAGATGAGACTCTGAGCTAAACAAAGGCAGTGGGAACAGAGAAGGGACATGTTTGGGATATTTAGGGCGGAGCTGGACGAAGCCGCAGTGCACCGGACAGGACACCCTGCTGACAGCAGGCCGCCTTGCTCGGGGCCTGTGGGGACCGCCTCCCCAGAGAGGACCTTCGGTTCTGCCTCTCGGCTGGCTTCACGGTGCGCCTGCCGGTCTCCCTGCTCAGACAGCCCAGAGGCTGCCAAGGGTTCCCCTCTGCCCGCCCTCCGAGGGCGCGGTCCTGGCCGCACTGACGTACGGGGGCACACGGGGCCTCGTCGGGCCCTGGAGAGGCTCCTGGTGCATCCACCTGTCCACTTGGAGAGGACGGAGCTGCCTTCGAGGGCAGACGCATGGCTGCAGTGTTTGTTGGAAGCACCAGCTACTCGTTTTCAAAAGTCTCGAGGTAGTAACGTGAGACCCACCCTCCGCCTGCCACTCCTCCCTGCAAAAACCAAATACTTTCCGAACTTGATGACAAATGTACACAGTCTGACATCTGTGACTATTAGACAAACATACTTGAAAGTAACAAATGAACCACTTACTTGCTGGAAGATGCAGAGGTTAGGGAATGTTCTAGAAATGTCCAGTTTAATAAGCTCCAGGCTAGCCTCTCTGTCCGCAGCTGAAAACCCAGCATCTGTGAAACGATGGAGAGTCGTCACACCCCTTGGAGGCGCACACCGCGCCATTCGAAGGCTCGGCGGCTTTACGGCAGAGCCAGGAAAGTTCTTCCGACAGACACGGACCAAATTACCACTCCAGCCAAGGGTCTGCAGAGCTTCTAACTTTAAGGGCAAATGTCAGGTGCTCTCCCTCTGGGGAGCAACCCACGCCATTTCCTTTCCCTTCTTCTCCCCGCCCCCCACTTCCTTCCCCGTGGGCGAGGGGCAGCTGGCAGCTTGTCCCAGGCTAAGACCCTGAAGCTGTCCCCAGACCCCCTTTCTCCGACTCCCCAGTGAGCAAAGGCGGCCTGGCCGAGCCTCTGCTGTTGCTTCTTCTGTGCTAAGCCCTTCCTTGTTTACTGTCCCCGGCTTTAATAAATGTACCCTCACAGTGACCTAGAAAAAAGAGCAAAGGTCGCACCGCACCACCTGACGCTAGAGCATCGTCAGGCATTTGGAGTCTGAACCGACCCTCACCCGCCCCCACCTTCCTCCACCGGTCAACAGGAGCGTCAAGGCCAAGGAAGGGAACACACACCATAACTCGAGGACCAGCATAAACAGCACTCGTCGTTCGGTCGAGAATGCACTGCTGTGAACGCAGACCCCACCAGTGTGTGGCCGCGGGACACTCACTCCTGCCCCTGGCTAACAAGTATGCATGAGCAACCTGGGCTGTGTCTTTCAGACTTTTGACACCAGGCAGATGGTATTTTAAAACATCAGTAAAGACGATACTACTTAGGCCTGGCCGGGTGGCTCAGTTACTTGGGGCATCATCCTGTGCACCAAAAGGTCAGGGGTTTGATTCCCAGTCAGGGCACAGGGCTGGGCTGCAGCCAGTTGGAGCACGTATGGGAGACGACTGAGTGACGTTTCTCTCTTTCTCCCTTCCCCTCTCTCTCTAAAAATCAATACACATATCCTCGGGTGAGGAGCAAACAACAAAAAAGGTGCCACTTAACCAACACAAGCGTCATTCTTGCGTGCCATGGAGGGCTCTAAGAGCGTCACCTAGCAAATGCGGGGTTGGGTGTTGTCAGAGGCAGCCCCCCACGCTCCCCGGGAGCCGACACTTGACCCCCTGACCCTGGGAGCCAGGCTGCTGCTCCTCTCGCAGACGTGAACAAGGAAGCCACAGTGATGACGCCAGCCCTCCAGTAAGCAAGGACACAAACCCCTTGCACGACCCGGTATGTTCTCTTTCTTAGAAAAGTTATCCTGCCCCGGTTGGTGTGGCTCAGTGGATTGAGCACAGGCCTGCAAACTGAGGAGTTCCCAGTTCGATTCCCAGTCAGGACACATGCCTGGTTTGTGGGCTAGGTCAGGTCCCCAGTGGGGGGCATGGGAGAGGCAACCACAAATCGATGTTTCTCTCTCCCTTTCTCCCACCCTTCCCCTCTCTCTGAATGAATAAATAAATAAATAAATAAATAAATAAAATATTTGGGGGGGTTCATTTTTAAACTTGTTTGCTCTTAAAAAACAAAAACCTTCCCACGAAGCTTGCTGTGACTTTGCAGCAAGCGCACCCTCGGTTAAGTGGCTCTTCCTCGTTGGGTGACAGCGACACAACCATTGAGCCACAGCCGCAGCGGCGCTCATACCTTCGCTCTCCGACTCAGGGCCACCCGCGCTGAAGGACCGCCACCTCTCCTTGGCTCGGGCAAGACAGATGTCGAAGAGCTCTGGAAGAAAAGCCCTGGCTGAGTGTCCTGTGCACAGGCGGACGCGCTTTTTCAAAACACCGAGGACACACCACTGCTGCCTCTTGGGGACGCTTAGCGCCCAACCACTGACTGTGCCCTCGCTGAGGCCACTCAACCCCCCAGCTCAGCCAGAAGAGCCCGCCGTCTGAAGGCCTCACCGCGTGCAGAGGAAGCACCGGCGCCGTGGTGCCCGGCCTCTCCTCCCACCACACTGCCCGCCCAGCAACAGCGGTGTTTGCTGTGGGAGCCCATCGCTTCCGCCAGACTGTGAGCTCCTTGGGGTAAGACCACGAGGGTCCCGCTGCCACATCTGACCCAGAGCGAACAGACCGACGCCACCAAGGATGCCCTGACTGATGCGGGGAGGGAGAGGCCAGCAGGAAGCCCGTCCACTACCGGGGCACCGGAAGGGAGCGGGGGCACAGAGAGAGCTGGCAGAGACTCCAAAACAGAGGGACCGTCGTGGCCGAGAAGGATCAGACAAGTCTCCCTCACGTCCCCCCAAATCACCCCCACATTCGCACGCTCACAGACTTCGCCATCACACACAGGCCTCCGCGCCCCACTCTCCTATGGAGAACAACCCACGCAGACCGCCGGGCGCCCTGCCCGTCTCGGGTGCCTCCGGCTCCAGGGCTCTGCGGATTCCCTGCCACCCAATGTCCCGGACCACTAATGATCGTGAAAACCTCAACTGCAGCTCCCAGGGAACTTTCACCCCTTTCCTTTCCCAGCTACTTTTGGACAATGCAGCAGAGCACACCTGCCTTCCAGGCAGTGCACGCTACTTTATTAAACTGAAAGTCAAATTCTCTCGGGCCCCCACAAGCAAAAGCTGGATGAACGACCCTCAGCCTCATGAAGGACCCGACTCACAGTCTGTGCTCGTCCGCACACAGAAGACGGCACAGCTGGGAACCACGGCTTCCTACCACTCTCATTACCCAGGAGGCAGCACACATCCTAATGCCAATGCTGCCGAGGGTGGGGCCACCAGCTGCAGGGTCTGGGGGCCTCTCGCTACTCTTGGCCTCCAGGACCAGGGCTCAGCCTGGACCATTTTGGCAGGAAAGGAAGGAAAACAACTGTGGGGCCTGACGCCTGGAAGCCACCTCCCAAACTCGCTGTGTGGCAGCTACCGCACAGACGCTGCTGCCTGGAGGTGAAGGCGGTACAAGACCCAGAACTCGAGTATCCACTGGTGTGCCTGCTGGGGCGGGGCTGTCAGAACAGGGGACTTCACCCAGTCAAGGCACATTCCTGGGTTGCAGGCCAGTTCCCTGCAGGCCAATTCCCAGCAGGGGATGTATGAAAGGCAACCATACATTGATGTTTCTCTCGCTCTCTCCTTCCCTTCCCCTCTAAAGATAAATAAATAAAATTAAAATGTTAATTTAAAAAAAAAAAAAAAGAACAGGGGACTTCACAGGCACCTGCGTTCTTATACTGGCTTTACAGACACAGCAGGACTAAGACTCCGTGGGATCCGGGAAGGCGGCATCCATCCACCCATTCGCTCATCCATTCACTTGTTCGACAAACACTTCTGAGGGCCAGTCCTGTGCAGAGAGCCACGCGGAACCCTGGGACAGAGTGGACAACACAACAGGGGAGGCCCGGCTTCCCGAGTGCTGGTAATAGTGCAGGCAACGGACATCCAGCAGCTGATCATAGAAGAAAGACGCCACTTATAGAAAACGAGGCAGTATCAGGATTTAAATTCTCAAGACATGTGACTGACTACCTAGATTGAGTCATTCATTAGCTGTTTAGCCTAGTCTATCAACGATGTGGTCCACAGAACATTTTAATTTACATGAAACCATGCAGGCACTGGTGAGGACCCACAGGTAAGTGTGCGTGTGCATGCACGCACACACACACATTCCTCCGTGTGACATGCAGCTGGCTCAGTTAGAGCTGTTGACAGTTTAAGAAACTTTCAATAACAAGGACTAAAACAACTGATCACCCACTCCTCCAACCTCTGCTTCTGGGGCTGCTTTGAAAACCCACGCGTTTGTTTGCACATGTCACATGGCACGCTTCTCAAGTTTGGACGCTCAGTTTTCCACAGGCATGGACCAGCCACAAGTGGAGCTTTGAGGAGCTCGCTCTCAACACAGGCCAGTCACCGCCCGGCCAACCAGCTGGTGGGGTTCGAGGCGGAACAGGCCGATGGGCCCAGCAGCCATCACGGGGTGGGAACCATGATGACATGAACCAAGTACCCAGAGAAGACACAGATCAATCTATTTTAAACTCAGGGTCTTCCACCATCAACTCCATCGACTCCACAAGCACTTACTGGGTACAAATAACATAAAGACAACAAGGAAGGCGCCTCCATCCCCCGCAGACAGGGAGGAAAAAAGAACAAAGCAACAGCCACCCGTGACTCAGCGCTTGGTCACAGCCTGTGAGCCCCTGGCCTGGTTCTCACCAGGGCATGGTGCTGGGCACAGAGCGGGAGTGAGCAAAGCACACGCAGATGGAACGCACGCATGTGGCCGGACAGACAGCCCGCCCTAGCAAAGTGAGTCCGCCGCTCATCTCCCTGCCGACACTTGAGCTACCAGAACCTCAAGCACCCACTCGAGTGTGCTGTGTTGACCCCCTAGAGGTGCTTATACATAAGCTCCCTGGGAAAAAAGGCTGCAAAAAGCCAACAATGCCCTGAACATGGCCCGCACCTCTCCTCCCTTCCCCCTTGCATCCTGCTCAAGGCTTGCCTTCTTCGGAGCTCGGAGAAGAGATCCTAACAAACTGCTCACTCATGCTATGACCATGACATCACACCCACAGGTGCTGCCACGGCTCTTCTGGGAAGCTGGTAGGTGTCAGGGAGAAGGCTAGCGACCGCTCTGAGCCACCAGGTAAATGAGGTGCTGGGAGTGAGCCCAGGCCCTCCAACGGTCCCTGTTCCAGAAAGACACAGTCGTCTCTCAGGAGTCACAGCTGCATGGCAATGCTTCCCTTTCTTCCTACCAGGGAAGACAGGACAGAAGATGCCCCAGGACCCACAAGGAAGGGGGTTCCCCAAGCCTACGATCACGCAAGCGCTCACCATGGGTGATGTTCAACTCGTTGCCGATGGCCAAGCTCCAGACTCTGCCTCTCACGCTGGGAGGGATCCCCTGCCACCACAGGTCTCGCACTTTCCTTGAGCACCACCTGGACACAAAGGAAACATGCGGTTGTGAGTTTGTTGTCACTGAAGAAGCACCTGCTTGAGTGCCCAGCCCCAAACCACAGGAGCAGGTCATGCACAGGAGTATGGTGAGGCCCTGGCCCCCAGGGGGCCGACAGTCCAGCATTCCAGAGACCAGGAGATCAATGACTAGCCCCACTGGGCACCTACAGTGACAGGCACATCAAGGACACTGCCCGAGCAGAGAAGGGGCCACCAACCAGAGGGGCTTAGGGCTCTATCCTGGACAATGGGCAGTGGTTTAAGCAGATGAAGGCAGGGAAGGACTTTCGGAGCACAAGGCGCAGCAGCAGAAACCGACCCCACTGCTGCAGGAGTTGCTAACAGCTGTGGGGCGGGAGAGGCCTGCGCGGAGCTGCAGGCATAGGCGCAGGGCGGCCACCTTGCTCCCTCCTGCACAGGGGGAGCATTCAGGGACAGCTGTCCCACTGGAATGGCAGCAGTGAACCCTGCAAACTCAGAACGTTCTCAGTTGCCAAAGCTGTGGAGGTCGGCTGCGCATGGTGACGCATGCTGCCTGCAGACGGGCGTGGAGGTGCTGGAGGCTCCCCGGTGCCTCTCAGCACCGCTCGGTGTGGAGAGCACGGCCGAGGCTGCAGAGCAGGTCTGCACCCGACTGCGACTCCACGCTTCTCTGGGACCCCGAGGAGCACCCCTCCTCCTCTCTGGCACGGAGCTGGGGAAAGCCCCCTGGAGGGCTGTTGTGGAGGTCAGCGGCTGACGCCCAGGGGCACGGCCCGGTGCCCGACACCCAGCTGGCGTGCTGCACAGAAGCTGCTGACGGTACAACATCTGGACTACACCGAGCACTGTTGGTGTGGGAGGGACGGGGTGGGCTCTGCAGCCACACGGGGAGATGTCCCGGGGCCTCTGAAGACCTCAACTCTTGTCACTGGGTCCCATTTGAGAAAAAGACTGTTTCCTGACCACGCCCAGCCTGCCCAATAAAGGCACTGCCTGGAAAAGCAGGCTCCAGGAAAGGCTGGACTTCCCAGTGCACATCCTCAACGAGGCCATCTGACTCCTGCAATGAGGTTGAGTGACACCTGGGTAAGTGCCAGGAGGAAGGCCACCCCATCGTGACAGGTGGTTCAAGCTGAAAGGGACAAGTGCAGGAGGGAGACTGGTACCCACACTCCCATCGGCACTTGTTGTCCACACAGTGCCTTATGCCTGCTGAACCACAGGGAGAAATGGTCTACAGCTGTCCCTCGGATACAAGGACGACAGCAGCTGCCAGACTCTGCTGGGTACTGGCCACTGGGGGCTGTCCTCAGACAGAGGACGACCGAAGCAGCATATCCAGGGAGTCTCCTCCAGTCACCGGGACAGGAAGTCTTCCCCACGAAGACTAAGCGTTAAAGAACGAAGAGCTGGCAGAGAAGCTCCCGGGCAAGGGCACTGCAGGCGCAGGCAGGGAACGTGCAAAGGCCCTGTGGCTCCCCATGAGAGGGCCCCATCAGAGGGAAGGAGAGGGAAAAAGGTGAGGCCCAGGGGAGGGAAGGAGTTCAAACTCTACACCGTCACAGGGGGTGTGAGAGACCACTCTGGCCGCTGGGCGGATGAGTTAAAGAGGGCAGGGGAGCTGTCACAGGACAGGTAAGGCCCAGTGGGGCCTGAGCCACGGCAGGGGAGCTGACGCTAGGTCATGTCATCAGAGGCAGCACTGGGACCCACAAGCAGCACAGCTGCCTGCTCCGCAAGGCTTACACGGTCTCCCAGTGGGGCAGGACCTCATTGTTCCACGTGAGGGCCGCATTCCCGATGCTCTCCTCCAGCCTGCACCTCTCCTCCAGCTGCTTCTTTCTCCGCCGGGCCTCCTTCAGCTCTGGGACCACAGTGGAAAACAAGAAGGAAACGCCCGTTAGCCGGGCTCCACCGCGCGAGCCAGGCGGCTTTTCTCAAAGTCACGCAGCACGGACCCCCAGAGAAGGCACTGATGGCAGATGTGGGAGCCCCCCGGGATGACTTCTGCCGCGCGGGGTCTGGAGCGCTAGGGCGCGCTCCATCTCTGAGTAGGGTGCCGTTCCTACAGAAAGGTATCCGAATAACATGAGACCGGTCACCAAGCAGACAGACCCACAGCTGCCACCTCCGTCGGACCCCAGGCCTCACCAGACCCCGGCAGCACCCTGCACGCCCGCCCGGCCCCACCCAGCACAAGCACAGCTCCCAGTGGGAATGGCAGCTCCGAGAAACACCGTGCATTTTACCCACATACACTTCCTTGTATTTTTTATTGCAGTAAAATACGCAGAACGTAAAATTGACCATTTTAAGTACACAATCCGTGGCATTAAGCACCCTCACAATGTCATACGACCAACGCCAACATCACCTCCGGAATGTTCCCGTCTTCCCAGAGTGAAACTGCACCGACTGAGCTCTAACTCCCCACCGCCTCCTCCCCTGCCCGGCGACACCACTCTACCCTCCATCTGCGGTTCTGCTACTCCCAGGACCCCACGGAGGCGAGGTCACACACCGTCTGTCCCTCGTGACCGGCGCGCAATGTCCTTGAGGTTCGCCCATGTTAAGGCCTGTTCCAGGATTTCCTTACTTTTTTGGTAAAGATTTTATTTATTTTTAGAGAGAGGGGAAGGGAGGGAGAAAGAGAGAGAGAGAAACATCAATGTGAGATACACTGATGGGTTACCTCTCACACGCCCCCAACTGGGACCTGCCCAGCAACCCAGGCCTGTGCCCTGACTGGGAATCGAACCTTCGACCTTTTGGTTCCCAGGCCAGTACTCAATCTGCACCAAATACGGCAAGAATTCCCTTACTTTTTAAGGCTGAGTAACATTCTAGTGTATGAAAAGACACATTATGGCCCTGGCTGGCGTAGCTCAGCAGATTGAGCGCGGGCTGCGAACCAAAGTGTCACCAGTTCGATTCCCAGTCAGGGCACATGCCTGGGTTGCAGGCCAGGTCTCCAGTGGGGGCCGCATAAGAGGCAACCACACATGGATGTTTCTCTCCCTCCCTGCCCCTCTAAAAGTAAATACATGAAATTTTTTTAAAAAAGACACATTATGTTTGTCACATATTCTTTTTACACATCCGAAAATCATAGGACGTTGCAAGGGATTTTCCAAACCCTGTCACTGTCACATCTTACGAATAAAGAAGACAGCCCTGAGGGAGAGAGATTCGCCTGCCGCTGCAGGCCGAGGCTTTCTCAAATCCAGCATTTTCCCCTGAACCCGTGATTCTCAACCTTTCTCGTCTCGTGGCACACGTCATAACTAAAATCCTGTGACACACCAGGAAATGTATTTTTGGCCAATCTGACAAAAAGCATGACACTCGCACCAGACACGTACGCTGTGCCGGCCGCCAGGCCTGCGCCCGACGGTCCAGGGGCGAGGCCAGACCCTCGGCCAGTTGTTGGGGGTCACGTGTCCTGAACACCCTCGCGGCCCCGGCGAGAGCCGCCGCCCTGAACAGCCCGCGTTCCAGGGCGAGCGCAACACGTTATTCCCTTGAGCACAGTTACCAGGAGTCGTGTAAGCAGAAGCACACGTTTTTGGTGGAAAATTATAAATTTCAAAACACTGAAGTGTTCAACACAGTTCGGGCTCCAGGGCCCCAGATGGGAAGGAGGAGACACCCAGAAAGACGCGGGACCTCGGGCGCCTCCCACGCCGGACGCGCGGCGAGCGCCCTCACCTCGTTTTTTGGCCTGAACCACCATCTCTTCGTATTGCTGCCTGTGTCTCTGGGCTTCCTCGGCTGGCTTCGCCGGGAGGTTTCTTGAAAGAAAACAAATGATTGTTTGCTGTGATGACTATCAAATACGATTGTTTGAAAAACAAAACTTGAAGCATTATTTACTAAAAAAAATTGGAAAGCCCAAAGACTGAAAACTAAATACCCCGAGATGACGAGGACACAGCTCTTTTGTAAACTAAAACTATTTTCTTACAAAAGTAAAATGAGCTTATGTGAGAAACCTGAAATAAAAAGATTAGAGAGAAGTAACAACTGCCCATAATTCCAAATAGAGATAACACTTCAGATGCTTTCCACGGCTTCCACAGAAACCCTGACGGGACCGGGGACCCCAACAGTGGCCAGCAGCACCGGGGGTGGGCCCCAGGCGCGAGCTCCGCCCCCTGGCCGGTTCGTCATGCGCCAGTGTCATGTCAGCTCTGGCCATCAATCTCTGCTTTCCATTTTGTTTGCTCACTTATTTTTAAGCCTCGCTCAAGGATTTGCTTTTACTGATTTTGGAGAGAGGAAGGGAGAGAGAGAAACATCAGCCAGCTGCTCCCTGTATGTGCCCCCCCTGGGGATCGAACCCACCACCTTCTGGTGCACGGGACGCACTCCCACAGAGCCAGCCAGTTGGAGCTGGCTCATCGGCAGCTTCATTTTTACACACAAACATGTACCTCAGTTCTAAGCATGTGCATGTGATGGGCAACAACACACCCTAAAAAATAAAACGCATGCTCCCTTTCAGAAATGTGTCGTCCATCAAACAGGTAGACACCAGAGGAGGGACTTGCTAAGAACACCGGTTCCTGCAGACCCCACACCGCCCAGCTGGCTGGTCCAGGCATCGCTCCTCCTGCAATACTGGGGTGTCCCCCAAACACCCAGGTCCCAGTACGCTGCTGGTGTCTGCTTTCAGTTACAATCCAGTCTATAGTTTTTAACAGCTACTTAAGTATTCTTAAGTGCTAAACAGGAAATAAAGAGCGACTTGGCATTTTTAATGAGTGCTGTGGCTTACTCTTCGTCCCTCTAATTCTCTCCTAACGAGAGCGGACCCTTTAGCAAGGCGCGCTCATCCCCCGCCGCATACACCCCGCGGCCCCTGAGGACTCACGCCGGTCTGTCTTCCAGGATGAGCGCGGTGGTGGACAGCGGCTCGAAATCGAGGTTCTTCCTCACATTCTGCTTCGGGGAGGGTGGCTTGCAAGGTGGTCCCGCCTTGTCTTCATATTCCTAGGACAAAGGAACCAGGGTGAACTCCAGGCCAGACCAACTCTGATAGGATGAAGCCCTTCTGAAAGCAGAAGTTTTTTGTTGTGAAGTTCTTTAAGGTGATTTCGAAGATCATGGGCTGAAATATCTCTTGCTATTCAAAAGCAAGAAATACCCAGGAAAGGGGCCGGATAGCTCTGTAGTTTAGGCCCTCACATGCTGTGTGAGGACAGCAGACTTCCCACGCTGGTGGGGAAGTTACCACGGACCTTGCTGTCCCAGCTGCCCACGGGGCTTCCTGAGGGCCCACAAGCACTGCCTCGGGTCTCCTGTGCTTCTCCTGGGGCAGGGCCATGTTTTCTGGACACTGTCAACTTTAACTGACCATTGTAGCAGCCACTGGGAACCTCAGAGCCAGACCAAGGGCCGAAGCTGGCACTCAGTTGGCCCCCGCCTCGTCTCACACAGCCCACCCCGACCTCTAACCCACATCCTGCATCCCGTTGGAAGGATATTTGTTAGCCTCTAAATCTTCACTGAAATGAGAAATGGTTTACAATTTTTTGCATGAGGATGATGAAAGCTGTTTCATTTTCTTAAACCAGAAGCATAAAAAAAGAAATCTTGAACATCTGTGTATGAAACCATGCTCGCGAGCTGTTATATAAATAACCACACCACGCCCTGGAAATGTAAAAGCAGCGCCTGTACGACCAACCAGATGGCAAAAGCTCAGTCACTCCTGCGGACCCACACTGCAAGTGCTCCACCAGAAGAGTTCCGGAGAGCCAAGCAAGCTGGTGCCGCAGAGTCCGGCTTCTGAAACTATGGGTGTGAGCATGCGTGCACCCTCAGCCCTCTGCAAGTTAAAAAAACCCACAACGCTTTCTTGTTTCCTATTACAGACTAAGCTTTGGAACCTTCCCTGAGACCAGGCAGTCTACGTGGAAGACAGGCACACACATGTGCAGCTCACCAAAGACGGAAATAACTGTTCCAGATAACAACAGAGGCAGCATCATGAGTGAAAAGTGATTAATTGCTAAATGAATTTTATTGACACCAGCTGCCAAGGAGGGTACTACTGGTAAGATTATTTGGCAAACAATTATTCTTAGACAGAAAGGCCTATGGAGGTTTCCGCAAGCAGCAAGGAAAACCATCTCCAAACAGGCAGGCGATGGGAAGGAGCGCCCCACGGAGCGGGCGGCTGGGGTGGTTTCTGTCCTTCTGGGTGTGCGGCTCTGCGTGTCTCAGCACAGCTGACCCTGACTTCCCGGGGCTCCACCAGAGGGCTACCATGACCCCCACGGACCGAACACAGGTGGCAGGTGCCCTTTCCCACCGAGTGAAACCTCCAAGCCCGTATGAGTGCCAGGTACGCAGCTGCAGCCCCGCCAGCCATCAGAAAGCTTCGGACCTAGTGCCTGCGTGTCAAAACCTTGAATTTTACAAGAAATGCACCCAAAGCTGTGTGCTGAGAATGAGCCCAGGCCTGTAGTGTCCAAAAAAGAATCAGAAATGAACACCCCATGCAGTTCGGTCCACTCACCACCAACCTTGGTCTAGTGAACTGCACTTTCAGGCCTGAAGGTTCCAGCACACACATAGGACGCCTGGAATCCAAACGCCCATTTCCATGTGCTTCTGCACGCATCACATGTGCCGCCGTCTCATTGTGTCCCCCTAACAAGCTCCGTGGCAAGGTCAGCCCATTTTATACGTAGCAGCTGACTGCTCTCAAGGACACAGGCAGCAGGGCGGCCTAGGGCACCAGGATGGGCAGAGGCTGCTAAGGCTACCAGCACAGCCCCTGGCACAGAGAAACACCAACCTGGTTGCTGGGGGCCACGCCCTTCTTCCCATCAGACCTGACAACTGACTGGGGCAGAAAAGATGCTCTGGGGCCAGATACCAGTCAGGAGCCCGGTAAGGCCCGCGAACAGCATGCACAGGAAAAGAAAAAGTGCATTAAAGGCCTGACTCAGGACCAGCACAGTGCGCCGTCTGCGGCTGCAGCTCAGGAGCCCTGTACTAACAGACGTCAGCAGTCAAGGGCATCAGACACCCTGAGTACAACTCCCCCCCCCCCCCCCCGCCCCAGCCTCTGAGAGAGAAGCTGCCACCGTCCCCATGTCACAGATGGGACGGCCCAGAGACGGAAAATGACTCACACCTCTGGGGAGCTGGGATCAGAAGCCCAGCCAGCACCCAGATCTGCAGCCAAGCTTCTCCAGGACAGCCGTTTTCCAGCGTGGTCCAGGGGTTATTTAATCACTCACACTCAGTCTAAGAAAGCTTTTAACTATGAACAGAAGCCTGTGGTACTGAATGTGGTGCACATGCTCACATTTTAACCACACAGAGCATCGTATGACTTTTAGAAAGTAGAGGAGGCCTGGCCTGCCTATGCTGGAAACCCCAGGGAAAGCCTTTCCAAAGTTCGAGGCAGCATGTCAGAGTATGAGTGGCACCGGAAGTTATTGCAGGTCCTGCTCCAAAGCCAGTTCTCCTATAGCTGTCTAGAGGTCAACAGCGAGCTGTTTTCAATCCAGACAAACCAACTTCAGAACCAAGAAAGAGGACCGTTCCCTCTAAAGGTCCTTGAGGGGAATGGAGGAACAGAGGCAGATGAGATGTCTGTGGAAAAACACAGGGTCAGTGTGTGATGTGGCAAGTACTGGGGCTTTGGAAGAAATCTTAGCTCCAAGTCCTGGCTCTTGATCTCAGGCAAATCCTCTTGCTTCCAGCTGGGCCTCTGCTTCCTCGCTGTAAAGTGAGAGCCACTGTGAGGGCCCTATGACGAGAGGACAGGCATCAATGACCATCCGCTGAGATCCCAGGCCTATTCGGCACCAGACAACTGTGGCGAAGCCCTGGCCTGACCCATCACTGCAAAGTGTCTTCTCTGCTCCAGACCCTCACGGGGTTGAGCTCCGAAGTCCTTAGTTTAAACAATGTGACAATGCCCTTCATTGCTGTGCTCAGCAGAAGCCCCACGCACTCATCAGTGCAAACTGCCCATTCAAACGACGGCAAGGGACTCGATGCCCTGTTCCAGAGGGCATTTAGAACAGCGTTCTTTGACAGTCTCGTGGCCAAGCAGTTTAAGTGGTCAGGCCAGCATTAAGAGAACAATGAAAAGTATCAGAGCGCACACAGTAAGGCCAGTTTGTCTCAGGTCTGCACCCAGTTCTAGCCATGCGCTGAGTCTCAAACGGCCTAATGGGGTGGGGGTGGGGGCTGTCTCATCAAAAACGTTCACAAGGCGCTAACTGGGAAGCACAGCAGGTCAAGTCCATGCCCCAAGTAGTCCAGCATGTATCCTGCTGGAAGAGAAGATCAACACCAATGAGACAGCAGCCAGCAAAGCCTGCTGCACTTAACCAGGGGCCAGGATGTGGGTGGGGGTGGGCCGGGCGACCCGGTGAAAAGTCAGGGAGAACCGGGAAGCGAGAGCAAGTGAGCAGGACCCCAGCTCCACACAGAGGCCATGAGCAGAACAGCCCATGAGATTTGGCAGCAGGGGAAAGACGGAAAGGGCCTCACCTGTGAGGGGACCACATGGGCCCAGCACGTTGGGAGACCCTCGGGACCCAGCCTTTAAGAGCCCACTCTAGTAGGGGCAAGTGAGATGCCAGCAGAGGCCAGGAACCCGGGTAATGGAAGCCGCCACGGAGCCTGTGGGGAGACATTGGCCGGCAAGTGATACGGCAAGAGCTAAGGCGTTGGAAGCAAAATCTTAGCTCCAAGTGCTGGGGTCAGGCCGCCGACAGAGGGGAACAGAGGACAGTGTCAAACCAAGGCTGCCGGCTGAGTGGACGGAGGACTGGCAGTCAGGCCGTGAGGGGGCGTTCACCCGACAGCACAACCGGCAGCCAGGAGGCGCTCCCGAGTGGGCTTTTCCCGGGGTCGGTGGGCGCACTTCCAGCAGAGAGAGTCCGATGCACTCTAGACTTTCAGGCCCCGACCACGATCTGCTGAGAGCTGGCGAACAAGGAGGGCGCAGGGTCTGCAGCCTGCGTGTCATCCGAGCAGTGCTCAAGGCGAAGACAAGGGCGCCAGATTCCCAAGCGAAGTACTCAGCCTGCCAGTTAAGAAAGAAAAAGGCCTACCTCGACAGGCGTGTTTTAAGAGAACAAAGAAGAGACCTGGGCTCTCACCTGATGGAGGAAGCGCACTCCTGGCAGCCTGACCAGAGGGGCTGTGCGTGCTGCGTGCAGGACTGGCGAGAGCAGAAGGGACGCCCAGCCCGCCACCAGGCTGGCCTGGGGAAGTCCCCTGGCTTCTGGGAATGCGGCCTCAGCCAGAAGGGGGCAGGGGCACCACTGGAAACCCGGCCTTGTGCCTGACTCAGCTGTGTGCAGTGTCAGAATGAGCCTCGTAAAGCAACTCCTGGGGGTTCTGGGGGCGGGTCTGCAATCAAGCATGGCGGGCAACTCCCTGCGGCACCTCCCAGAGGACGGCACTGGCCAGCCTCCGAGGCAGCCCAGCGCCTGTGCACAGCCTGCGGGGGAAGCGCTGGGGGAGGGCAGCCAGCCTGCGTCTGAACCTGCACCACCGGGACCAGCAGCCTGACCTGGGGCACATCCCTCCACCCTCCCAAGCCTGTTTCTTCACCTATTAAGTGGGAAGCCTGAATGAGAACAGATCGGTGCAGACATGTGGCCATAGCAGTGCCCAGACAATGACAGGCAGTGTTAATCACTGTCCTTGCATTACTACACAACTGCTTTCCACAGCGTTTCCCATTAAGAGCACTTAATGGGGCTGAAGACGCGGTGAGGGGGAAGCCCTAGAACACTGCGGCCGGTTTCACACTGACATTTCTTCCGAACGATTCTGGGGTGAGACCTGCTCTGTTCTACCATCTTCAGTGGGGACAGGGGCCTGTGCAGGTCTTATGAATGCCTGGCTTCCAGAAAGATGCCCAGGGGACCACTGAGGCTTGACCTCGCACTGAGAAGGAGCCTTCAGAACCTGAGGGGTCCTCAGGCTTCAATGCCCCGGCTCCCCGCAGG